GCAACCTTGACTTGATAAAAGCGTAACAAAACAAATGTTAATAAATTAATGTAAATAAAATCAGAAACCAATCTTGGGGAATCGTGGATCCCCAACAGGTAGTCAAGCCGCTTTTCGGTTAAAACTAAGCTAAAGGAACCATGTACAACATGATGCTTAGGCTTTACTTGGTGCGTTTCTTTCGAAGACGTCAAATCAACTGAACGGAAGATGCCAGCTTCAAGCCATTGGGTGTGATTTAATTTTCAGAAATGTTTTGCTTCGAGTCTAAAATATTTTCGCGGTCTTTTGTGGTGTTGAAAGGATCACACGCAAGGTCCACGTAGGTTACAAAATCTTGCAGTATGGCAAAGTTTACGGTGGCATCTCACAAACAGTACACTCGACACTGCATTTTATACGACTTCCAACAAGGGAAAAATGCTTCTAAAACACGGAGGGAATCAATTTGCAGTGTACTTGGTGTCGACGCTGTCTTCTTACAAAACTTGTAATTTTTGTTACAAACAGTTCCGAGGTGGTGATTCCGGTCTTAGTGACCAGCCGCGCCCCAGACAGCAGCCTCGAAGGAACAAAGACAGAATTGCACGCTCCACTGAATGAAGGCTCAATGCAAACCCAATAAGGACTTGGAGCTTACTTAGGAGTCAACCAAACAGCCATTTCCAAGCGTTTGCATCACCAAATGGGAAGCATTCAAAAGCTCGGATGTTGGGTCCCACATGTGATGTCCGGGCACAACCCAGGTGAACGAATAAACACATGCGTCGACAGACCATAATGCCTCAAAAGTGCGTGTGGACTCCACGGGCACGCATAATCCTCAAGCCACTCGATCCCTGTTGGAGAAAATAACCAACTCGAGTAGGCGCGTCATTTGTTTCATTTCATAGTTCGGAGTGTGTGCAAAACAGAGCTACATTTCGAGGAGCAGCGGCCGTAACAAACACAGGAACCGACAAGTTACCTTCCAGCGAATATACAAAAAACAATAATAAAAAGCATGTCTGCCTCCGATTCACCGATGACCGCCTCTCGGGAGGCCCTTCCCGACTCCCCCGAAGGGGCCCCAGTGCTTCCGCCGACTGGCTCCACCCAACGCCGGACCAAACGAACCAGTTGGCGGCACCGTCGGTATGTTGGAGGCTGGGGTGGAGTGTTTCCGCGAAGCAGCCGGCTTGTCTGTCCACACAATCGGTTGGATCTTTTCTCTGCTCGTAGTTGAGGCCAACAAACCACCTAAAACGGGAAAGGCATCGAATTAAGGGCAAGACTGTGTGAGATTGCCAATTCCTAAGACAGATTATCAAGGCCTGGGAAGTGATCAGGAATAAAATGACTTGGGAAGTTAACGGTACGCCTGGGCGGGCAGGCGAAATTAAGACGAAAGAGCATTCTGTCTGGTTAACTCAGCCTTCTAAAAGCCTAAAGACCGGAGTGCCCTAACAAAAGTGAAATCAATCGCTTTTTTGCAATTCGCAAGATCTCTTTGTCCAAAAATGAGGCTTAAAGCGTAATTTGACTGAGTGCGATACAACCAATCAGGTTGCCTTCGGATGTTTCGGTGAACCAATCACAGCAGTGTGCGATTGGATTCGTTGTTTGATTTTAAATAAATAAAGGGCTAGACACGAAGAATTCCCGAATTCCAGTGAACAACGGAAATTCTTACCCGCGGGTAAAGTTGAAACGGGTTTTGAGGAAGTGGTCAGAGATTGGGAGACCGTGACGGAGGTTGGGCGGTTAAGGCTAGCTGAGGCTTGGGGCTGTGTGGACAGCAGGGGGCTTGAAAACAGACCACGTGGTGCGGAGGTTACCAAACTACTGGACGTTGTAGCCGCGCTACCTACATGCACGCACAAAAGTACTTCCATTAATTCGGGACTTTTTCGACTTCCATCGATCCTCAAATCTTGTCAGTCACCGTTTCGAAAGATACGACTACTTTCTGCCTTGGTTTGGTTAATGTACACACTTGTCGTGGACGAAAAACACGTGAGAAGACTACTCTTTCAAGCCAATGCCAGACCAAATGGAGAACAATGACTAACCAAAGAGAGAGACGGGTTTTTCTGTATCTGAAGAAAGGGTTTTCAATCCAGAAAAGAGACCAGAACTCGATGACGCTGTGATTGAGCTGAAGAGACCACCACCTGCTGTGCCAGAAGTTGAAAGCGTTTGAGAGAAGAGGGAATCACTATGAGGGGCCACTGTCGTCGGTGGAGGCGCAGGGTTCTCGGCGTCTTCGGCTTCGGAGGCGGGTCCTTCGTCGCCTTCGCATTCCAAATCGCCGCTACCCAGACTGGCTTCACCGCTCTCGCCCGCTTCATCGGCAATTTGAGCTTCTTCGCCTTCTGACCGGCTCTCTTCGTCCTCGACCTCTTGTGCATTGTCACCGCCGTCGTCGTCATCTTCTTCGTCTTCATCATCATCGTCATCGTCTCGGCCTGGAAAGCAAAGTCATAATCACGTAAAAACGAACGATCACTGGATCCTAACCACATTCGCCAAATGGCGAGAAAGCTTAGTTTACGTGATTCATGCAGACACGTGGTACCAAAGGCGACTTGTTCGACTCAGACCACCGACTAACTGAGAGGTGGCTTCGTTGAAATCCAATAAATTTTAAAGCGAAACAAGGGAACACTATGGGTGAATTCCCAAGCAGGCTGGAGTACGCTGGGAATTGACCTACACAATGAGGATATCATTACATCCGGGAGAGATATGCAACAGTGAAAAGCAAAACGGAATAACGAGGAATCACCTCGAGGAATATCCTAATCGCAGACAGTATCAAACAAAGGTAGGTTTAGAAATGTACCACTACTGAGAACAATGACAGCGTCGTCGCTTTCGTTAGCGCCTTCATTGTCTTCGCCATTGTCTTCCTCAACATCACCGCCTTCGACAGCAGCAGCAGCAGCACATTGGTCCTCTGCTTCATAATCGGTCTGGTCACCCTCGCTGTCGTCTTCCCCATCAGTGCTCTCTTCCTCTGGCGCTAGATGCATCACCTCCTGCAAGTACAAAGCCAGTTAACAGTCGAGACAATCAATAAGGAGCAAAAATCCTCGCATAAATTCAGACGCAACATTTGACCGCCATCTTCTGATCAGGGGATTTGAATTGAAATTTCTCCGTGGCAGGCTTTAAGCGGCATAGGGGATCATCAAAAAAGCATTTAGTGGGGCCTATTAAACACGCACATACACAGACATAAGCCATAGGACGCTTCACAAGTGTACAAGACAGGAAATGATATCTGAATGCCCTTAGTTTATATCTACCTCCAATCCTCAAGCTCCATCTAAACGGCTCAAGTAAGTCTACCAAATAAAAGACAAATTACACGAAACTAAGCAACATAACGCACTTCGGGGACCATTTGGGACTGGCTATCGACATCTTCAATGACTAAGCGGGGATCTTCGTCCTCCTGTTGCTGGTCCTCCTCTCCCTCCTCCACAATTTCATCATTCACATCAACGTCCTCCTCATTGCAGGACAAAGGCGTCATCTGCTGTACCGGCATCACCTCCCCCTCCTCTTCTACATCGGGGCTGATTTCTTCAACTTGGTCTTCCTGGTGCTCAACACTTGAATCCGCAGTACCTTCCATTTCCACGTTGATTGTTTCTAATGACATGGAAATATTAGGGGGGCGTCAAAAGACAATGCCTCCGCATCACCACAGAAACACAGCAATCTGAACACAAAAGACGCGTTGTGCGAGTGGATTCACATCGCGAAGCCTACTAACCAAATAAACTCCCGAAGAGGGAGCAAACACTTCAATTAAACACAAAAAAAATCTCCAGCCGGCAATCATGAAGGTCAAAAATCGTCCTGAGTCCTTAGACTATGAAGTTGCTTTAATGACAACACAAAGAGGTGTCGCTAATGACACCCGATACGGTACGAAGGCACCCCCATAACACCTCATCTTGTAGACTTCAACATCTGACGCAGCAACTATTGAAAAAAATTGGGATAAACTTTTCATTGAAAACACTTGCTCGGGTAGAAATTAACATGAAATCTCCATTACTACACGTAATTTTTACTATCATCTAGACACACATCGTCGTATTCCACCAGGCATGACCATAACTTTCAACTTATCGTAATAAGAGTTAGCATGAATGGGTTATCGCTAAGATACGTCACTCAAATAATTTGAGTACAGAGGCATCTCATTTGTGGAACATCCTGATTGAAAAAAAAACTGGCGTAAGAAAACTAAGGAATGAAAACGCGGTGGGAAGCTAACCTGTGAATACGGAAACGTTGGGGTCAGCGGAGGGCGCTGTCATCATCGGAGAAACTAGCAGTGTGGCTTCCATGGATGACCGGGTTGGAGTGAATACCGTGGACTTGAATCGTTTCGGCTCCTGGTTTTCAGAAGAGCCGGATGCTGAAGGGGACATCGGGCTGTCGTCTTGGGCCGTCTCTCCAGAACCTGAAGGCTGAGTGTGCTGGTCTGAGCCCATGACAGCTTCCTCGTAAGTCCGCTTCCCAATCGTGGAAGCACGAGGTTGAAATGATGCGGCAGTTACTGGTTGTTGGTCGTCTGTGGTGAAGGTAGATGAACTCGTGCCTACTTGCATCGCCGGAAGAAACTTCATGGGTCTCAAAGAAGCTAGGTAAAGCAAGGAAGTTACCATGAGGGGGGCTGTGTTGGCAAAAACCGATAGTAGCCAGTGGAAGGACGAATCAGAACACACGAAGAACCTACCGGCAGAATTCGGGAATGGCTGTGATTCGGTGGTCTGAGAGCTTCCCGCGAAGGCTGAAGTCTCGATAGACTGGAAGGTGCTTTGACTCTGAGGAACCGGCGAGAGGTAGCTGCTACTGACCTGTGGCTGATGCGGATGTTGATCGCCAAAGAGTCCTGTGGTCGTCGGTAGAACAGTAGCAACAAAATTAGTCAGTGGCCGAATTTCTGCGGTCTGTCGTGCAACGGCGGACAGCAGGCCTGGCGAGGGAGTAGGTGGGGGAGGCGTTTGGACGGGTTGGACTGTTGCTGCCGCTCGCATTACCCAGGAAGCACCACTAACCGATGTACTGGAGGGAGTCGCCGTTGTTGATGTGCACGAAGCACTTGACAACGTGGTATTCTCTGGCGAGACGGATTGCCGATCAGCGGTTTCTGACATTTGTGGAACAGTCTAAACGCACGAAAGGAGTCGTTTATACAATGCTCAAGTACACTTATTCAGCTATTAAGGCCTCAACTCAAGAAAAATACAAAACGCTACTAATGGGAAGCCTCTGAATCGTGGAATAATACGCGGGTTTGCGAAGAAAACTTGCCGAAGTAGTTGCCACAGAGGAGACACTGGAGGTGACGAGGGTTGAGACAGGAGTCGGTTCGCTGGGGACAGCCATTGCCGAGGCTAGCTGCGCCTTCAATTCAACACACTGTCTTTTAGTCTTGGTGAGTTGTGACTCAATCAGTTGCATTCGCAAGAGCCGCTCCGACTGTGCTTCAGCCTGGCTTCGAAGACGCGACAGCTCGGCCAGCAGCAGGGAGAGAAGGCGATTCAGATGATCGTAGGTGGCCGAGGCTTGATGCGGCGGTGGCAGGTCATCGCCGATCAGGGATTGCGGCGAGTCGGTCGTAATTGCGGCTAGCTCCGGCAACGACTGTTGGTAATGGGACAATGTTGAAAATACCTGACGTAAGTAGTGTTGGCATGGGGACAGAAATTAAGGTACTACAAGCAAAAGATTCTGAAGGATAGCGAGTTGAAACATTCAAGCCCACAAATGCAGGAAAAGTAAAAAACGACAAAATTTCGGTGTCCATAGCTACGCGTGGTTATAGCATCAAGGAACAACAGTCCGAGATTGAACAAGAGCTTACCTCGGCCTGGCCAAGCAGCTGTTCCAAATGGTTGATTTCCTGTCTCAGAAGAGTCGACTGCTCCTGTTCCAAATGCAGATTCGCTTGAGTATTCAGGAGATCGGCGCGCAGTGCCACCATCGCCTCTTCTGCCGTCTTCATGCTCTTTTCTAAACATGCGTTAGCAACAGTATACAATGGGACTGTTTTGAGAGTTAAAATAATGACTAACAACACCTCTGCTCCCCCCCTAAAACACCAATTTCAAACCAGCTTTTCAAAAAAAAACAACAGAATAGTCTTTAAAATACACGGAGCTAGTATCCAAATGCGAGGTCGCAATTAAGCGACGCCTAGTGGTTTGAAAATGGCGTACCTTTTTCTTGAGTGGTGGATAATTGACGTCGCAGTTCATCTGACTCCTGACGGTACTTGCGTCCGATTTCACGGAGTTTCACGATATTAACCTGTTTCCTAGAGAGCTCTTCCTGCTGATTCCGACATTGCTCGCTAGAAGAAAAAAAGCACGTATAATTACAATGTGCTGTGAAGTCCAACAAAATTGCTAGCTTCGTTCATTTGTTGCTGCACTTAGAGTATGCTGGGGAGGGTGATTAGTCTCCAACCGGTATCCTCTGCAACGTTGTGACTAGCAACGGGAGAAAAGCAACTCCCAAAGGTGCGTGGGCCTTCGATCGGTATAATACTAATAATAATCAAGTAGGGGAACGGGCAAGACTCACTCTAGTGACGCAGTTTTGGTGGCCAAAGCCAGTCTTTCGGCCTCCAGTTTGGAGAGACTCGACGAGAGCTCGCCCATCTGATGCTCGAGTGCGGCAATGCGGGACTCGGATTCGCGCTCAAGACTCGCCTTCGCCTCCTCGGTTGCCAGCAAGCGTGCTTGAAGTTGATCTCGAGCATTGCTAAGAGGAGACAAGACCAACTTAAAGCATCGCAACACACGAAAATGCACGCTATTGTGGACAATTCCTGAGTTCGAAACCAATCATAGTTACATTGCCACTAAATTAGAGAAGAAACTGAAACAATCATTGGAGGGCAAACAGAAAGCAATCAGAAACTAAGGACTACTTGCCGCCCCATCACATTACTTATTGAAACCGTGAGCAAAAGATGTCGGTGACATTATGGGTGAATCATGAAGTACAAAATTGTTGCGCGTTGGGTTAGACGCTGACTATAGTACCCAGAGTTGAAGATATACCACTAGTGCACGTCAATCAGGTATAACAGGGGTTGCTGGTACCAGAATGTAGAGCCTACTTCATTAAGCACTGATCGAATAAGCGGGAATCCCACAACGAGACAACGCAAGCACACATGAAACGCACCAGGCCTGTTTGTACTCCTCGGGATCCATTCGTTTCGACGTCTCCACAAGGCGTGTGCACCTCTCCTTCCAACGATCACGTTCCTCCGCCAGAGAGCGCTTCTCCGCCGCGAGAATTTCTCTCATATCCTCCAATTCCTTACACTGTATCCGAAGAGGCTCCATTTCAGCACGCAATGCGACCAACTACAAGAAGCACATAACCGTAGACAAAGGCCAAGCCAATCAAACTAACAATACCAAAATACAAGTGGAGCTCAAGTAGTTACCTGTTCTTCAGCCTGGGCAGCCGCGTTGCGGATGCTTTCGCGCTCCTGTCTGAGGAGACGGTTCGACTCACTGAGCACACTGACCTGCTCAATCTGGCTCATCAGACTGGCGTGCTGACTGGAGGTCTCGGCTCGAATCTCGCTTTCTCGGCGCTCCTCAGAGAGCTGCGCCTGCAGATCGGCGATGCGTGACTCGAGGGAGTGGACGCGCAGGTGCAAACGGCTGACTTCCGCGTTGGCAGCCTCCTCAGCTGCCTCGGCAATTGACTTCTGGCGACGCAGGTACCTACAAGTGATGGTAGGTAGGTAGGTTCGAGTGGCATTTCGAGTGCACGGAACGCGTGGATTTGAGGCGCCAAGTGGAAACACCGGACTTACTCAAGAACGTGCGTAAAGTCCTCTGATGCTTTGATCTGAGCACCCAATTCTTCGCTCGGAAATGACTCATCACTTGAGCGCTCCATCAACTTGCGGAGGTTCACGGTTTGCTCTGTTAACTGAATGATAGAAACGCCGAATGCATAAAGCTGACGAAGAACAGTATTTTCAAATCGCCTAGCTAGGGCACTGGACGTGAATACGGCATGATAAGATGCGAATACAATAAAGTTCAACCAAGACTACAAACATGTGCAACAATAGTCCATTTTAACTGTTATAATCAGCTAGAACATTGTTCGAGAACAGTCGGTGACCCATTTTACGATGACGGAGAGGTCAGATCTTAACGCACAAATTCGATAAGCTGTAGCGCTACAGAATGGGGAATTGACCGAACAGCCCCTGTTAAAGACCTCAAAATCAACCGTAAAAATGGGGTTTATGAGAAGGGCACAGATGGCGAAGTTTGATACATCAGAATATAGCAATTCTTTTGAAATTTGGACGATAACCAAAGACAATGTATAGTGTGACGAACCGGAACACAACAAGAGCACTCAACCTACTAATCATCGTATGTATTTAGCAATACTTTATACGCTTAGAGTCTGCAACGGTTTTTCTAAATGAGGCGCTGATATCACCAAAAAAACTGCATGAGCTTAGAGTAAAAAAAGCGTTGGGTAGCGACGTCTTGAGTCGAAATGTTCAACAGCACTAACAATAGGATGTCTGATCGCGAAATGGCTCGCTACGATGAATGCTGACAGCAAGCATTCTTTCTAAGCCAACACCCGTAAAAAAAGATGGAAATACGCGTGACTCAACATCCCGTAATCACAAAGAATGGTGCGATAAAAAGGTGTAAAACCACAAAAACCTTCAGTATTTGCTCTTGCAGCCGGTTGACTTCTTCGTCGGCGTCGGCAATACGCTTGGTGAAACGAGCACGCTCCTCTTCCCAGAGCTTCAACTGCTCCTTCGAGCGCTCCTCCGACTGCTCTGCGCACGCCTTGGCAGTCTCCAGGGCGGTTCGGAGACCCTCGACTTCGGAACGCGCCTCCTCTGCACGCTTGCGCGCCTCCATCAACAGTTGCACATCCTACAAGTTCAATTGTCTTAGAAAGAGCAGCTGAAGTAATGTGAAGATGGGCTGAGGATAAACGACAGGCACCAAAACCGGCTGAATAACTTGTGCAAAAGGAGCCAGAAGGCCAAGGAGCCGAACTCGACCGACGCACCTGTGAATGCAATCGCAGTTCCACTTCGTACTTCTCCCTCGCCTCCTGAGCGGTGCGCTGGTGAGAGGCGACCTCCGAACGCGAGGACTCCTCCACCTTGAGCGCGGTCTCGCGTCTCGCCTCTGCGTCCTTCAACGCCGCCTGTGCAGCGACCAAGTCCGCCCGCAGCTTTGTCAGCGCAGCCTGGGACTCGTCCGTTAGACGTGCGTTCGCCTGGACCAGGTCCTGTCTTTCGCTCTTCTCCAACATCAACTGCATGTTGAGAAGTTCGCACTCTAGGGAGGAAAGAGCAAGCGCGTCGTGTTTAATGGGTAACCGGTGAGTGCGCAACAAAGCCATTAAAAAGAAAAGAGAGAAATGCATACGTTGGTTTTTGTCTTCGACCTCAGCTGCATGGGCGTGCTCCAGTTCCTCGCGTTCCCGCGTCAGACTGGCGATGTGGGCTTCCATTTCACTGCCCAACTGCTGGTACTCTGCAAACTGCTTGCGAACCGCTTCGAGAGAGACGCGGAGGAATGAGCATTCTCGTTCGACCTCCCGGAATTGAGCCAGCGAGGGTTGGTTTTCGGGACAGGTGGAGGTCTCCGCAGACGCGGACGTCTGATCGCCGACTGCATGCGCCAGCTGATCTGAAGGCTCTGCAGAAAAAAAAGCACAAGATGGCGTATTCGCATGAATGTCTTAGGCCCTTGTGAACCAAAGTGTCTGGACTACTTTCACGTTACTGGTGATAAAATTGTGGGTTACATTCATGCATACGACAGAGATACGCCAGACGTCGTGTCGGAGTAAACACGCATCACTCAGGCTGAAAATAACCAAAAACTAAACAGTTTATAGGTTGTAAACGGCGTCAATTTGTCCTTTAGTTCTTGTCGGCACCTGAATCAGCAAAATTAACTGGTTTAAAATCAGAAAACTCGTCAAATCTCGTATAAGAACCAACCATTTCCTCGTGTTTCCACCACGGTCAAAGTCGGTAATTGATGAGAAATCACGAAACACGCCCTACATGATGTAAAATGGACCGAACAGCTTCGGATTTCCTACCCCAACCATTGTTTAGGGAAAAAAGGCTTATTTTTTGAGCCAGTATGAGAAAGAATTAACAAAAGCGTTTCGATCAGAATAGAAAGAGTCAGTGATAAGGATTAACTGAAAAAATTGCAAATTTAAGGACCAGAACGTACTTGCACGAGCGTTGGGACTGCTACCATCGGTGCTAGACGTGGGCGTACCAGGACCAGTTTTCGATGTCGCGATCGCAGTACGAAGTTGACAAGCTTCCTCTTCGGCGGAACGAAGTGCCTGCCTGGCGTGCGAAAGCTCCGACTGCAACGTCATGTTCAAGGCATCCATTTTCTCTAGCTTCTCCTCGGATGACTTTCGCAAATCTGCCAGTTCAGTTTCCAAGGCGGCTATCCGACGACTAGCCTGCATCCTCTCCATTTCCTCGCGGTGTTCCAGGTTGTTTTGAATGGACTGCAGCTGACGCATCAGCTGTTCGTGCGTGACGGCCAATTTTTGGGCAGATTCGAGCTCCTGGGTGAGACGGGTTTCGTTGGCACGAGCGTGCTCCAGTTGACGAGTGAGTTGGCGACACTCAACTTCGGCAGCAGCCAGGCGGTCGCTTGTGCAGGCCGATTGTTCACGCAGTGCCGTCAGGGCCTCATCGCTTGCCGCGGCCGAGGTGGTGTAACGCGCGTTCATCTCGCGCAGAATAGATATCTCCTCCTTGTAGTTGGCCACATTCGCCTCCAGAGTTCGAAATTTCTCGTGTGTAAAATCCAGCTACAAAAAACCGTGCTTAATGTACTTGTGACATCTGCTAGCCCTGTTTTTTTTTTCACACGCTTTTCTAGTTGTCCCTGGAACACACTAATAGGTTCGCAAATCGCTGAGTTGAACGCTAGTACACACTGGGTTAGAGGATATCCTGTTTAATTCATGGAAACCCGTTTTAAAGAAGAACACACATACAAGGCTCGTTTTCCAAGCCAAGCCAAAGTTAGAAAGACAACACTGACTTACTTGAGCAGCCAACTTCTGGTTGAGAATTCTGGCTTCACTCCCTTCTTTACGGAGTTTCTCGATTGTCTCAGTGTAGACCTCGTCCGATTTGGCTTTATCCTCGCGGTACTGCTTAAGTTCGGAATGGAGGGAGCACAGAGACTCCTCAAGCTTGACCGCGGATTGGGAGTCGTTACCTCCCGATGTTGTTGCATTAGTCCGATCCAAAGTGGACACTGATGAGACGTCAATCACACCTGATGTATCTACAGTAAATTGACATAAGTACGCACGTAATGAGACAAAAATGCGAACTAGGCCCATCGTCGCTTACCTGGGTGAACAAGGAGGCTGGCGTTATCGATAGACGTTGCATCAGAGGGACCGCGTTTACACGGCGTCGAGCCTTCAGCTATTGCAGAATCCGGCAAGGGGATGGCGTGTTTCTGAAGCAACGCCTTGAAAGCGTCGCGCTGTCGTGCAGCGAACTGGGCCTCCGATCTCGCTTCGGAGGCAGCCAAACGAGCCACCTGTACTTCACCGGAAAGTACTTCTACCTTGGCCGTAATCTCCGACACTCGGCTGGCCAGGACGTCCTCTTTTGATTCGTGATCTTCCAGTTGGGTGGCTAAATCCCTTGCAACCAGTAAAAGACGCGCATTTTGGGTCTGCAACTCAGCTAGACTTCGATAAGTCACCAGGTTGCAGTCGATCACCGACGCAGCTGCCGAATTGTTCGAAGAACAAAGCTCAAGCAGCTTACGACTGTCCGTGTCATCGGTGCTGCTATCGGGGAATGCGTCAAGGGCTCCCTGATCGGTCAATTTAATGACCGTCCCTCGAGCAGTTTCGAGTTCGTAAAGCAGAGTTTTAACCTGGGTGGAGAGATCCTTGCAGCTTTGCTTAAGTCGCAGATTTTGACGCTGGTAATAGCCTGAACGTCGGCTGTGGTCATTGGCCATCTCATGCTGCTCTTTGGCATTGGCCAGGGCGGTCTCTAGTTGTGACTCTAATTCAGCGATCCGTTCCTTACTCTTGTAGAAGGCCTCCTGTTGCGAGCGAAGCAGGGGACCTTTCTCCTCCAACTGCGAAATCATCTCACGAATGTGCTCTGTCAACCTTCCATTATCAAGTTTGAGCAGGTCGCGCTCCTCAACAACCTGAAAGATCGAAATTTGGGGAAGGGGGATAACATTGTGGCATCTACACAATCAACTACTGTACGTGCACCAACCTGAACGTAGTCTGAGTAAATCTGCGTAAGACTCCTCCCGCGTTTTAATGAAGCGATTGTGGTCGCTACAGCGGGATTAAGCTGACGCAGCTCCTCCTCCGAGAGTCCCTGAATGCGAAATTTGTCGACGATTTCATTTGCAACCTTTAATTCGTTCGTGAGCATGGCGTTTTGCGACGCCAACTTTTCCTTCTCTGCCACCAGCGTCTCGACAAAAGCGGCCTTTTCGTTTTGCAATTTGATGACGTCTAAAAATACGAACCACGGGTGTGAGTGCAGGTCCAAACGCGTAGCATGTTTGTACCACCTTTACAGTCTAATGTGACCGCTCTTAAAAGTCATTAGTAGTATCGACACAGATGAAGTGCCCTAATTTTCAGATTTAGGAAGGGAGGTTTATGACATGCAAAACGTACGTTCATGCCCCTGATTGAGCATTTCCTGCATTTCCGCGACGGCCTTTTGCATTTCTTCACACTTTTTCTCCGCTTCAGTAGCTTGGTCCTTGTACAAATCAGTGAGGCGACGTTGAGCATCCAACTCGTTACCATGCAATTGTTCCATATTTACAAGTTCATCAGTGCGCTATATTAGCATTAAAAACACAGAATCGGTGTTCTTACTATCTTCAACTTTTCAATGTGGTCTTCATTAGACTCCGTCAATCGCTTGACAAGATCCTCTAACTTGGCTACAGAAGACTGGGATTTCTCAAGTTCGACTTTTCGAGACGCTAACTCGGACTCCAGGTCAAGATACTTCTCGGACTAAAAGCGGAATGACGGAAAAGGACCAATAAGTCTTACATTATCTCGTCTAATCGACAATAGCTTGTCATTCGCCTTGTGAAGTTCCTCTTCCAACCAGGCGTTGTGTCTCTTAATGGATTCACTTGTCTCTTCGAGGCGTTTTTCACGGAGCTAAAGATTGTAAGCGAAAAATAGGCGCATTACCGCCAAAAGAGCCTTCTCCGTCTTAGCTTCTTCCAGCTGCGTCAGTGCATCTGATTTTATGCGTCTAGTTGAACTGACTTCTTCCTGAAGTTCCCGCAGCTCGGCAGAGAGTTGTTCGCACTCCGATATCTTTTTATTTAGAAGTTCGTTTAAACCTTCTTTATCGTTCTCCAGGTTCTTGATTACTAATTCTAGTTCGCCAGATACAGACATACAATCGGTAAGCTTTTTATTTAGCTCATCTCGCTCCTTCGTTAGCTCTAAGCATTTGATTTCTTCTTTACTAAGAGCCTCACGAAATGTAGTTAGACTGGTGCCAGTTGAGTCCAAATCGGATCGGAGACGAGCACATTCCTCTTGGAGGCGTTCAACTTCACATTCTGCACACGTGTCACAGAAAAATTAATCTAGCTTACTATGCGACTCTTCAATCTGCTTTAGGCGTTCTTTAGCCTCAGCAGCTTCGTGGGTAACACTGTCGAAAGCGATCGCAAGATTTTCCGCCACCTTTTCTGATAGACTCATAAGATCCTCTTCCGACAAGTGAGCAAGCTGGATTAACGCGTCCATTATTAAGAAGTCCAAACCTAGAATAGTACCGGGCAAGATTAAGGACAAATCCAGAAGATCTAGACCGAAACCATACAATAAAATCAGAGGAAAGCATAATTTACTGGAAATTACTTGTTTTCTTATGCAGAATTAGAAGCGACTAAAGACGTTCGTTTTTTAGTAACAAAAATCACGTAATCCACGAAAAATTACTCTAAAAATTACGTTGTTTATCCTTAAATGTAGGAAAACAACAAATACTTTACATTCACCACAAAATCGTAAGCAGGCTCAGGTTAAGATTATGTAGCAGAAATATGAAAAAAAACCTGATATGTGATTAGAGACTGCGAAAACATCAAAACAAAGTACGCAAATCTGGAATGGATGAAGGGACAGACGATAAAACCAACAAAGCCAGCCTTAGCACGTTGGAACAGCCAAATGAATAGCGGGCACACATTGACTGCAATTAGCACAATAATAACGTAACTATGGCACGTTTAGGGATATCTTAAGCTAACAGAACTTGGCTACAAATATGGCTCATTGACAATTGATAAACCACAAGTGTAAAGAATAGAAAAAAAGCACGAAAGAATTTGCGCTGTAAATATATTTCAATAAAGTAGCAAGTTATTCTAACACTAAAAAAGTAAAAATCCCATCTCCCACCCTAACTTGTGCCGTTTAATCAAGACTTGCCGTTGGATGATGCATCTCAATTATTTGGAAAAAGAGCGATGGGCGACAGCAAAGACAAGTAGAAATATTTACAAGTTGTCGGAATTTAATAACCAAAAGTTAACAAATAATTCCAGAGAATTACAATACAAAACGATCTGTCAGGCAGCAAAAATTAACGAAATTAAGGTCCGACAATTCAAGACATAAAACACTAGATCTCATATACTACAGACGTTATTACATACATGGTTACACCTACAGAAACATGATTGCTGATTTGAAGAAGTTGACAACAACAAAGTTAAATTGGGACAACTAAAATGTGGGTTTAAGATTAACAGAGTACAACAAATTAATAAATCGAGAAGAAGGAATCATGTTACAGAGCAGTCTTACAATACAAAAAGGAAAATAATTGCAACATTTTAGTCACTTCAAAATAATAATGCAAGAAACTCACAAAAATAACTCGGCGAAGACAACCACCTACCAGTTTGAATTGAACAGACAAATCACAGAAGCTCGAAGTCTGTAATTGGCCAATATTCATCAAATCTTAAGAAAAAATTGATTTCACATTACTTTAATCCCATTTCAGATTTCAAAGTACCAGGAAAGGAAAAACCACATGCACAATTTTCGACTAAAATTGCAACATAGAATATGCTATTTTAACTAATATACAGGCAATTTAGATTTATGTAGTATTAACAGATTTGAGACAACTGGCATTTTTACAGCTGGAAGTCATAACGCCGACTAAGTAATTTTCGTATCATAAAAGTCACTTAAATGATAATTGCTATAATTCGTACGTTCACCAGTCGAATTTGACCGTATTTATTATGTACTGGCTAATATTTCTTCGTAAATTGTTAATTTCGTTGATCTATCGTTATTATAGGATGCGACACCTGCAAGGTTTCAAATATTTAAGTCGAGTTAATTGATTTTAAATAAATAGGCCATATGCCTCTAGAGAATTGTTTTTGACAACAATTAAAATATAGACCTTCAAGTTGACTGCATGCACAAAAAACCTACTCGCCATCAAACTTCAAATGTTTGATTATCTATGTATTTTGCTAGAATATTTGCTTTAGTTTACATTCAAATTTAGAAACAATTGTTCACTAATTTATTTTATGTGTTTACACTTCAACGGTTCCTAATGTAAGAGTGGACACAATCTTTTTTCATTTGAAAATTGTACTTGTGCAATTTCTTTTTTGTTGATTTTTGTCATTAGACAAATGGTAAAAATCTCTTTGTGACAACGTCCCTAATATATGCATAGAAATTGCAGTTGTCCAATGCAGCAGTCATATTACATTTTGTGTTTCTTGTCAGGTAATATTTTTGTGGTCATTTTTTCGAAGTATTTGCAGTTGCAAACTATGTGAAATATAGTAATTTTGTACTGAACCCCATTTTTACTTATATTTTCTAGACCCTTGTAATATTTAGTTACTGGATTTTTAGAAACACTATAATTCGTTTAACTATGTGGAGATTGTCTTTGCAGAAACGACGTTGGTCTCTGCGTTTCTATTTTTTAATCCTATAAGTTTGTTGCTATTATTACCTTAATTAACACTTAGGCGTAGTGTATTAACCATTTGCGTGTTGGTTTGTTTTCCCATCCTGTTTTTCATGCCGGTTAATTCGTCTGCGAAGGTTTTATGCAGCTTCCTAAGCCATAATGGTTTTTTGGTTTTTCTGACACGTTTATTTAGTTAGTTAGATTCCGCGTATGCAAATGTTGATGCATTGTCTACTGAGGTTTGTTTTTTTTTCTAAAATTACCACAACAAATTTCAGCTACATGCAACTAAGTTGCAATTATCAAGCAAATGTGAGGCGATTAAAATACTGACCCAACGTCTTGAGGAGACTAAAAAGGAGGCGGAACAGTTCAAACTTATGGCAGAACAAGTAACATTTAGCTATCTTTAATGGTTATAGCTACAAGAACGTTATAGAAGCTTGAAACAAACGCTGGGTTCTGATGTTTCCAGCTCTCCCTCTGTCAACTGTCCACCACGAAAAGCTTTCATAAATGTATTTATTTTTTTTTGCATAACACTTTTCAGTTAAAAGTTAAACTAAATGAAAGCGAAATGCACAATCGCATTTTAGAGACAGAACTTAATAACATTCGACGTCGAAATTCAGAACTCTTAAATGATATAGCAGTGCTCCAGAAATCTTGCGCTCGTAGCCAGCCTGAAGCTTTTGAGAATTCAAGCAACGAGAAAAAATCATTTTCGGCTCAAGAACGCGAGTCTTTGATTGCTCAACTAGAACTCAAAACCATGGAGGTACTTTAACCCTTTATTTTTCTTAATGTCCTGAAATAATTGTGTCCCATCTAGCACACCGTTTTGAAGACCTCGGACACATCTTTGTAATCCTTTTTTCCTTTCCTATTTTTCTGTTGCATCTGCTTTTTCGATTTTAGTGTGTGCGGCTGAAACGTGATCTGGAAATTTGTAACGACGAGAAACAGGAACTGCTTTTAGAGCTTAATGTCAGGAAGGAGTCTTTGCTGCTTGATTCCTTTGACAAGTCGGCCGAAGGAGATGTAGAATCGATCCTACGTGAGAATAAGTATGTCGTCAATTTGAAACGGCATAATTTCCTCTTCCCAGGGTCCTCTCCCGTCAAGTTATCAAGCTTGAGGCCGAAAAACGCCTGCTTGCCCAATCTCTTGCCAAATACAACGTATGTGAAAGTGTGAAATGTTGATAAAACTGCACATATAGTCTGGTTTTCTCAAATGAATATTTTTGTGCTTAGGAATGTGATGGGCCTAACAAGTCACAGCAACTCTCAGGCTCGTTTTCCAGCTTGGTAAATGGTAAGTCTACTCTACTCACCATTTTGACTTTTGTTGAACCCATCTGGATCTGAGGTCGGCTAGCTTAGATCCAACTTATACTAGGTGTTTCTTCACACAAATCTACTGTGCTTTCAACTTTCCCTGTTGAAGTGTCAGTCTCATTAATATGGAATTCAAGAAGGGGGGTATGTGATTTATGCCGTCGTCATAATGGATGCTTTGATCAAATAGTCTTTTGTGCAATTGAGGCCTGTGTGTTGTTCCACCTCTTGGGGATCTACACCTCTGCCTCTGAATGAAACTCATGCATTCTGTGCACCAACTACACCGTTCGAGGTTTATTTTAGTGCGGTAATTATTCTATTTCAAGATTTTGAAAACGACCCTGTGGACAACGAAGTGCCCCGTCTAGGTGACGAAGGTTGGTCCAGGATTGTATTTTTTTCTTAAGCTGTCTGATTTACAATAAGTAGATTATTTCTCTGATTAGTGTGTTCGAATGAAGACTTGTGTCGGGCCGCAAGTGAAGGAACTGTCATGGACAAGCCTCCAGGTGGACCGTAATGTGCTTCCCACCCATCTTAAATCTCCATAACTGTGATATCATGTAAATGTTTCTTGTATTTCTGCCGCCAACGTTCAAAGTAATATTTACTCGTTTCTTTGCCTTGTTTTGCAAACGAATAATCACAGTAAGGGTGTCGTCGTCAGGACTAGAATTAGATTAATCTACATATAAAATTGGTCAAACCTACCCCTTTTTTGTTCGGGTACTCGTAATATTTTCGGTACTGGCCACGCGTACGTAAAAGTGAATGCAGCGATATCCTTTACTTCTAAGAAATTAGTGTTTGTGTAAGTTTCTGTAGTGACCTGATGAGGTGTTTCTGCGAATTGCTAAGGAAATCTTTCCTGCTAAAGTAGTTGCTATTGGATATTCTCTTGAGTTGGTGAGGAAATAAATTGCCTGAACGGATTGACCTTAAGTAGGATAGAGATAGTAGTGGAAAAAACTAGAGGAGAGGGGGTTTCTCTGATGCGAAGCGCTGTTCTCACTCTGCCATTGATGCCTGACAACTGAGAAGGCTTATGCATTGCCTGCCTTGTCTGCTGTTGCTGCCAGCCGTCTCCAAACTTCAGATATTTGTTATTGTTGATTATCCCACTACGTCAGAACTTTGGGTGTGGTTGGGACCGATATTTGCGTCCAAAGGTGCTTCGTACCAATTACAATTTGCCGGCGCTCTTATTTTACCAAGTTGATAATGCTAATTAAATCCCATCTACATTTGCAGCACCTAAGGTGTGTGGTGTTTGAGCAAGTTTTGCATGCAAACAAGTAAACAAAATCCGAGACACGAGCCTAAATGTGTACATCAATTCAAGCTTCGGGAATCATTAGTTTAAGAGTTTAGCCTTTTAATGAAAAACAAAGAAAATTCGTAATTCACGATGGCTCTGCTGCTAAGCAAGCCTGAGAACTGGAGTTAATTCCTTCTTCTATAAATTCCACTTATGAACCCGTGCCTGAATTTTGACAGGTTGGATGATGATGATAGTTTATTTCCGTGGTCGGTCGTTTTTAAGCTTTCCCATTAAATAAATCGGTAAGGTGTGACACATCTTAGACCTCTTTGCCTTTATTGTTTTGCCATGTCCTGGTTGGATTCCTTTTTTTCTGACACGGCATCTAGTGACATCGAGGTTAACATGTGCGTTGCTGTTGGAAACATGGGTTACGTTTAACATAATGCACCACAAATATCGATAACAAATTTAAACAAAATGAAGCACTTTTAGCTTGGGACAGGTAAAATAGTACACTTAATAGGGTGGTTATTTAAATTCAATAGATACTGTAACCGCGATAGTTGGGAACTTTTCGTATAGCGTAGTGATTAACTTATAATTAGGAATTAGAATTTAAAGGAATTATAAGGTACGTTTCATCTTTACATATTGGTGATTAGAAAATGTCGTGCATAATTTTGGCAGATGACAGAAACATGCGATTTTGACTATGCTAATATTCTTTTCATTACCATATTATTACCTGGCAGTTGCCAAAATGCTTCGTGGCTTTGCACAATCTAACGCACTTTTCTTTTTAATGGCACGCAGGATCAGTTTTCCAGATTAAAATGAAAATTTGTATTTTCTTAATGTTACTTTTATGATTTCGAGTAGAACTGCAAAGGTGGCATTTAGGATGTGTATGGGGATCGTGCTCCTTCTTGTACAACCAGTCTATATCAAAAGATCTTATTTTTGTCTCTGCAAAATAACTGATTTCATGAAAGACGTCCACTCGATTGTGTACTTTTGAAGGAACGGAAATAGTTTTCGAATGTTGTCCACTGTCTGGATGTGTCCAAATGTTGGGCAAAGTTGGTTTTAAACGATCGACGAAAAAGGGGTCTTCTTTTCCCTCCTAGTATTTCTAAACGTCCATCGTTGGTGTGGTGAAGTTGTCGACAAATGCTGTCGCGTCTGCAGTCTCCTGTAGGCGGTGGGTGTCGCTTATGACAACGCGATACAGAACTGTGCGGGAAGTTTAAAAATCGTTCCGATAACTATTTCTGCTGGCAAAGCAACCTGTAGTTTTGGTTACAAGCGAAGAGTAACGCTCGATCTAAAACGCTGATTCACCTTGTTTTGTAAGATATCAAGCTCGATTGTAGGAGTTTGGAAATTTTTAGGTATGAGTCTGCTGGTGGAATGGGTCGTTAAACAAGGCAACCTATTTTGGCTGTTTACTCAACGGACGTGTCAGGAATTGGTTATGGTGAAGTGATGAATCGTGGCAACGGTCCAACGATACAGATGTGGACGCGACCAAGTCGTGCGCCTGGCGCCAGAGTTGCATTGATGAATCGATCAACTTTGAATATCGACGCTGTGACACAAGTGGGTGTTCATTGCTGAATCAACTACCTTAATGTTCGTTGACTCAGGTGACCTTTACCGTGAATCGAATGCAACACTTAGTGTCGACGTCAGTTTTGGAAATTCCTGTGGCTTAGCGTCAGATTCTTGCTCACCCGCCACAATGTCATAATCGATAAGAGACTGTGTGTAACCAGAATCGGCATTCGAAGAATCGAGAGCCCCCCACAAAGCACTGTTGGCGTTGATGCAACAGATTTAACTCGAGTACTGTGGAATATAATCTAAATGTTGAAATTGCTATTTAAATTCATCAACTCCATCAATTACTCCTCTGTGCGGCTTTGTCAAAAAATACCCACCCGCGTCGCTCAAGAGTTGGTTGTTCAATCACCCTTTCCGCTAGTTACAACAACAAAGGACTGGGGAGCTTCAATATTGTACTAATGAATAATAAGTGGCTGGTGATTTAAGGCAATAACAAGGAACTGGTATGTGCATAAAATGCAAAATATGCCAACCAATCACCGTAGTTTAGAACTTATCATTGTAAAATAATACCATTACTTGAGAGTAATAAAGGACGTTTAAACGTGCCTGTGCATTGCTGAAATAAGACACCGGCGTCGTCTGACGTTGGTTCCCGTGAAATGAGATGTTTACGTCAACGTAGATTGGCTTCCCAGTCACACTTCTTTCAAGTGCTAACAGGTTTTGAATGAATTTGCATCGCATGCTTATCCCGATGTAATTTTCAACATCATTAATCCTACACTTGGTTAATTTAAAAATTATTCAACCTCAAGGCTACATCTTGAGCTCATTACTCCAAGAACTGTGAGTGATGAAAGCAGTTACTAACCAAAGATTATCAACGTTGTTACTTTAGGCCCACGAATTTAGTAATGTACGGTTTTTCTCAAGTCTGAAATTCTATAAACACAGATACGAATACGGTACGAATACGGTGAGGTGAAAGTGATAGTCCGAGTGTTCGACTGCCAAAAACTGGGGCATTACGATCTACCAACTCAATCCACGTCGACTTAATTAAAAGGCCAGATATGACGTTAGTTTATTCAACGGGACTAACAGTGTTATCCTATGGGCGATTTCAAGTTGATGGTCTGTTTATTCTAAAAAAAATTATTGAAACACATAACTTTTTAAGATTTAGTGTGAGATTTTTGACGTATTTTACGTACATCGACGTGTTAGGCTCAAGTATTCATTCAGTAAATTACACGAAATTGGTGTTTTTGATGAGAGCAGCAGGGCTTCCAATTGTGATTATTGTGAAGTATTACAGTTCTAACATAAAATCTCATAATTAGTAGAGATCACAGACGTGATTAATGATTTCCATTAAGGCTTACCTCACGTATCGACATTGCACATTTGACACCGAAAATTCGAGATTTAAACCGTCAAATTTGCTGCCGTTTTACCAACAAGTTTAGCATGAACCCGATGAACTGAGTAGTAGTTAATACCAAAAAATCCGTTCCACGGCTACGTCTTTGTTGCAGTGATAAAACCAGCTTCATGGATTTAAATCTGGCTGGAACTCTCCCTGTTATATGATAGATAGATCCGATTGGGAAACAGGTGTGTGGTCTGATATCTGATCATGTTGCGCTTATCAACAGATTTACCACACCGAGGTTTAATGCCATTAGCATCTCTAATTTGTACTAATATTTGCCGTGAATTTCCCACCTCGATAACGCTAACCTTCCATTACGAAAAACTCCAATCAGAGGCCATGGAATTTTCGACACCTCAGTTTAAAACGTCCTGAGGCTTCACAGAATGTGGAAACCGTTGCTAATCAACGAGTAAACGAATTCAATGTGACATTCGTGAGATGGGTTTAACAGTGAGGAGACAAATAAATGAAGAATTTTTAAGTAATTTGGCAAACAACCGCCTTCCCCAGTAAATACATCTTCGCAGGGCCAATCAGGATTCGTGTATGTGATATGGAGCAAAGTGGCTTAGTAATGAATCCTTGTGTTGCTGACACTTTCTGACTGCAGGATTCAGTAGTTCTTGCAGGATGGGGTTGGTGGTTGATTGTTGTTGCAAGCTCAGCACACACATAGAAGGCTTGGATACGTGTTCTCTATCGAATGCGGTTTCGCACTAATTTGCATATTGTACAACGAGTCACATTTCATTTGAATGGGACCATTGCTTATTTTGAAGGTCTTACTATAACATGCCTACGAGCGGGCACCATCAGAGTTGACTACCAGGCTTACGGTAGAAGGAAGGAACCTGGTGTATTCCGGATCACCGTATACACATGCAGAGAAACCAGGGTTGAGAGAGGGGGCTAGAGGTGGCATAGGTAGACGATGACTGTGCAGAAAGTCAGGGTTGCCCTCAAACCTACGGGCGTGCCTTGAGGAAGGCTGGAAGATTCAGGAGGACTAGGCACGTTACATTACCTGCCGACAAGGAACCTGATTGAAATCTTGTCGTCTTAAACGCAAAGGTAATTACCACAACACCGCTCTTCGTGTTCGAGGATTTTAGCCTTTAGAAAGACTAGCGAGTAAGGTACTGAATTACTTTTTGCAATGTAATTTTTGCCACATTCTTAGCCAGAGTTTACCATGAAAATGACTCATCTGATGTTGGTCTGAGTACAACCCGAACGATGGATTAGGTTAAAACGAAGTGATTCAGAGTCGATTTTGGCAGAAATACCGTCGTGACCGAGCATCTTTGTGCCGACGCCTTCATAATCCAAGTCGGTGTCTACTGCGTACTTGCAGGCGGCACGTGCGTACACACGAACAGTGGTGATTATAACTGATGATAGCTCCGTAAATCAACCAATGTCTCAATGCGCTCAACGTGGGGCTTAAGGCATCTCATAAAAGACGTTGTTTGTGAATACAAATAGAGCAGACCAAATTAGGCTCGTTGTGTGCATTTATGGCTCGCTTATGGTCTTGGTGTATATTTATTGTTATGGCAGTTTGATACGCAACATACTATGAAACCTTTAAGTCATTTGAATTTAAATTTTTGGCTACTGTTTGCGCCAAACTGTGTTTTTAGGAATTCTATTCACGTTAGGGAAACAGGACAATAAATCTGTGTCGCAGGAATAATATCAAAGACACGAAAACGAAACACGCTTATTTAAAATGAACTTCGTAGGTACGTGAAAACAGAGGTGTGTCGGCGCGTTAAAGTAAAAGTACACTTTGGGTCCCAGCCAATCATGATGCCATCAAAAAAATCAATTTAAAAATGGCTATTAATGAAAGATTCTTAGCAGATACTCATGCATAGATACGCACTAACACCATATTTTCGTGGTAAACAATTAGTAGAAGCAAATTATTAAGCGTGAGTGGTACTGAAACATGGAAATCAGCAAACTCACTGTCAGTTCCCTTCAACTCGTAAACAATTAACGAAACGTAGGATCGACATGTACTCCGGGACACAAGACGTTAATTTAATTGGCTGGTTAGAGAATCAGGATGCAACCATTAAAATAAGGTGAGTTTCACTAAAAACAATGAAGCTGTTAACGAATGTTGCTGTGTAAGTTCAGACGCGTCTTAAACGGCGCTCTCTCAGGTGACCTCTGTTGCCAAAATACGTTCTTAATATGTCCAGAATCGGGTGTAAAGGGAACAATAGGTGACAGAACACAACGCCAGTGTGTTGGTTCGCAGAACTTTGTATCACTTCAAAGCTACACAAGCACAATTGCTAAGCGATCTGAAAATTTCGTGCCCAATTTCATAGATGGCATAACCAAGCACTTTAGAGTGCGCTGGTGTGGTCGTGTTTCAATCTGAGCGTAATTTAAACGCGTAACTTCAATCTAAACGCTAAGCTTTGCTCTAGGCAGCCTTTCTGATACATGGTCCAGTGAATAACACTCCGTGTATTGCCACACAGGGCACTGCTAAGAGGCAAAATGTTGATAATTTAACGGTATTGCGCCAGTTAAGGCAACTTGGAAACACTTCGAATGTGGATTTGTGGGTTCCACATGTTTTGGCAGAACGGAACAAAGTTAGGCCTGTTTCCACAGCCGTTTCTCCCTCGACTAAATCATAAGCTGAGATGATAAGTGGGTAATGTGTTGCGGCACGAGATTAACAGCGGAGAGACGACCGTTTATTCGTGGGCTCGGCCAAGTCGTCAATGGTGTGTGTCGCTAGTGGCACTTGCGCTCGTTCGAATTTACATTTCAGGGGTGTGAAACGGCATTAGTCATAAATGTGCAAACATGGAGACGTGGGTTAATACTATCCCGGGTGATCGTTCACGACCGGATTAACGAGGGTGTCTTGTGGAGGGATAATCGAGAAAATTTGTCAATGCGAAGGAGAACAGTAAACATCCCACCCAACTCAATGTTGAAATCCAAGCAAAACACACACAGTTGATAAGGCCTATTCTTCCACCTTGACAAGGGTAGACCACATGTCGATGAACAGATGGGGGGTCAAAATGGGAAAACTCTAGCGCCCTCCGTATTCCCTTGACCTTGCCTATGTTGACATCTATAACGTCAGTAGCATTGAAGAGCATGACCTTTTGCGCCTGGTGACCACTGTTCTCCGCGTCATGCAAATGTAGTTTTGATTTGCATTAAACATGTGAAATGTGGGAAAGACGCGGCCAGTGTCTGTTGAGGCGGTGGTCTCAAGTTGCACGTGAAGCGAATGGAGGGCGCATCTCCTCGCGTGATCGGTTCTAAATAGTTCGTGAGATCACATAGTCCTTGATTTCATTCATTCAAGTTAACCTTTCTGGGCCTAGAACTGAGGCCATGTTGTTAAAAGCCTTCGCAAATCTAAACTATCGATCTCCAGAACTTTAGCAATGACAAAATAGTCCAAGATTTGCTTGAAATGTCATCACAATTAATCGCGGAATCTCTGAATTGACTCGATTTAACGGAGCAACAATCAATCTTAATTTGAATATTATGAAGAAAACTGCTCAGACCGCACAGCGAGACCAATCTAACTTGTTTTGCTCAATAAACGGCCTGTCACCGAGCATTGCGTGCGAGGCAGGGAATACACCAGTGGAAGAGATTCCTAGACGTCTTTGGGCTGTGCATGTGAGATAACCGAAGGTGTAAATTAAAGTTCGAGTTGAGAATCGTGCGTGAACACTAGCCTGTTGTATCATCATAAACGAAGAACGACGCTAAACAGAGTGTGTTCAGCCGAATGCCAGTTTAAGGATTGGAAAGCCAAGACTGACACTAGGAAAAAACTTCGCTAGGCGAAATTGCATGGGACGAGGGTTTACGGCTACACGTGAGGCTGTATAGTCACGCACTCAATGCTTTATTATTAATAGCACCAGAAGTAGCCACCAGCTAGGGCACCTGCAGCAGTCTCCTGAGTGGTAAGAATCGTGACATTGGAGACATAAGATACCCGAACATGATCACAAACGCTGACCCTGTTGGCACCTCACCACCAACACTAAGTGTACGGATGTTCAATAAAACAAGCATCGGCAACGTACGCAACAACAGCTTCAGACGACAATAGACAGCATAGCGCCTGTGACGTCCCACCACGAATCCTAGTTGCTAGGCCATACCCAATCCACATGAGGTACTAAAACACACCATTATGACACGGAACCACCCAGGATCAACCAAACGTTTCGTTAACCCAGAAGAAAATGTTCACACATGAGATTTTAATAGATGATGTCAAGGAACAATGGCAGGAGTAGGGTAAGCCGCCTTCTCAAACCAATTTCAGCAATCGCTGCAACAAGTCGGAACAGTCAAAAAGGCTGGCTGCAGGATCATGATAATGTGTGATGTTAAACCATGACGAGCGAACTGCCATTTTAAGAAGACCCACACTGTACTCTCTGGGGGCCAGGACCATCAGAACCATCATCCTCCATGTAGGCTTCGCGGTGATCATTCGAGCCTTTAGAGAAGTCTCTTCGGGGGTCGAAAGGATGAAGTTCACAGTGTTCGGCGTCCGCGGACACAGGCTCCTCTTCCGGGTAGGGGAGTAGTCGACGGAGTTCTGAGCAAGCTCGCGGGTCCAGTGTTTCAGGAAACTCGACAACGAACTTGATTATTAGTCGCCCATGTTCAAAAGGACTCTTATAACGAGGCATCCCCTCGTTTGGAATGTAACGGCATTCATCTGGCTTAATAACTTCACCAGGTTGAGTTTCAACAACAAGGTGGCGCTTGTCAAGTGTTGTTATCACGCGGCGGAATCCTGTCAGTGCTTCTGCGACAGTGATGGTCATAGTGTAGATAAGGTCCATTTTCCGTCGGTGGAACCTCTCGTGAGGCTGCTCGTCAATGCTAAAGATTATGTCACCGGGCTCAATACCAGGTTCACGGTCGCCCTCGCCGGCAAAACGGATATTTTGACTATCCTAAGGAAACAGTAAAATAACAAATGAAAATCTCACCATCATGCCCTTATCTATCTCAACAACCAATAGCTTCTTCTCCCTAACGACCTTGTGGCCATTACAAGCTGGACACCGATCCTTGGGATCGATCACCTCCTTGTTGCCTTGGCAGTTTGAGCAAGTCGTCTGGGTTTGCTGAACAAAACCAATGCCGAGTTGGCGAAGGTGAACCTCGACGCCCGTGCCCCTGCATACGCGACAAGGCATCACGGAGCCGGCCTTCCCTCCACGACCTAGAAATTGGAGCGCCTCGAACAGTAAATCCTACCTTCACACTTCTCACAGATAACGTTCCTAGTAACATTCAACTTTCGGGTTGTCCCGTTGTACAATTCCTCTAGCGTAACACTCAGTGAATGCACTGTATCACGGCCTCGAGGCGGACCACGATTCCGATGCCCTCCGCCAAAGAACATATCAAAGATGTCCATTGGGTTGTGGAAGCTGAAATCACCACCACCACCTTCTTTCAAAGCTTGCTCTCCTCCCTGGTCATATATCTCACGTTTCTTCGGGTCTGATAAGACTTCGAAAGCTTGAGAAATTTCTTTAAACTAAAAAATTCGAAGTTAAATGTTGCGAAGAATTACCTTTTCGCCGTCATTTTTGTTCTTGTCAGGGTGATACTTAAGAGCCAACTTTTTGTAACTCTTTCTGATTTCAGCTAAAGAAGCGTCAGGAGAAACACCGAGAATGTCGTAGTAACGCTTTTCCTTGACCATCGTTACGCTGCAGGACGCACAACGAAACTCCTTCAAACTAGTGACTCAGAAAGCTTCTCGATGCCCCGTCCACTTAAACAAAATGATCACACCTAATTTTTTATACAAAAATGCAACTATAAATAAACATATCCATCATTTAGTCAATATTGTTTTATTGGATTCTGTCTAATAAAATGTGAATATTTATACAACACATCAAAGGCCAAATTTATATACGTTTATGCATATTTCTGTCCTTCAGAAAAAATGCTGTCATGTTATTTTAATTACACTATGGTTATATCATGAATTGCTTAATTTTTCGGCAAGAATTTTTTAATTGAGCTTAATTTGGTCTTTAAGGATCCTATTTCTAATAACATGTTATCATTTTATTTGCGAAGCCGCAGGTTCACTAGATTTGTGCAAACAGAATTTGTCAAAAATGAAATAATAGTGTCCCCCATCAAACACCAGCAATTTTTTTTATTTAAATGTCCGTTTTGTATGCATGTTCATCTGTTTTGTCCTCGACGCTAGTTAAAAATATATTTGTCTAACCCGAAATTTTCACCAGCTATTCTGTAGTAAATATGTTTGAATGCTCAAAATATGCAAAAATTTGCATAAAATATTTTTAATTTAATGCTTTTGTGGTAATATTCCATTTTTACATTAATACAGTTTTCAATTCACATCAGTATATCCAGCGTTGTGTTTTATGTAATGCCAAATGTAGGTCGTTTAATGGTTTAAGGCTGCTTTCTACTAAAAATTACGATTTGGAAGCAGTTAAAAAAACCCAAGAGCTCTACTTGTCCATAAATATGGAGAGTGGCAAAACATCGTTGCAATTTTTAAAGTTTTGGGGTCAGATTTGTCACGCTTTGATAATTCTTGTGAACAAGGATGAGCGTTCAGAACGAAATAATCGAAGGTGTGGTCCAATTTGCCAAGACAGTTACTGAAAACCTCTGGCCTTAGTGCGATGTTATGCCGCCAGTCTATAAATCTGGCAATTCTTAAGGTTTCCCTTCACTTCCCGAATACAAGAAATATTGACCTTTTTGTGTACACTCATACATTCAGCATAAGTAGACCACACTGCAAATTTTTCAAGATCTTTTCTAAATAATTTGTGGGCATTGAAAAATATTAAATGCGCTTTTATATTTACTTTAATTTAGTAGATTTTCTTTCAAATTGATCAATTGAACCTAAAATAATTATAGCAATGCATGCTAACATAAATACATCTAACTGACTAGCCCATTCGACACCTTTTATAGATAATTTACTTAAATTTTCCTTTTTGCTGCTTTATTCCCTTTTATTTCTATTTCAGAATTATTGGGATTAGGCGTAGATAAACGTAGCGTAGATAAATACCAATACTTTTTAAGTCCATTTTTTTACATCCCTGTACCCATCACAATGGAAATAGCTATCCCAATAATCATTTAAATAGGAGTGTTTAGCATGGCTTAAATGGCTCCCTCATTCTGGACACCTCTTATCTCGCATCTCTTAAAATCAAATAATGCAACACACCTGACATACTTAAAGCTAAAACCAACTACCTATTGCTTACCTCACTTCAACCAGCATTCAAAATGCGCACTAGTAAAATTCAATTATAATTGGCACAAAAACCATATGAGGTTGTAGATTGTTCATGCACACATTTGATGACAAAACTGCGTTACTTCCTATGACAGCCGAATTACTAACCAAAGTACAAAATTGGTAGCCTTTTCATTTGAAAAAGAAGCTTAACTCGTTCCAACTAAATCAACTGATTTCAGACAACATAATAGCAGATGCGCTCCAATGACATACATTCGCTTAATTTAAACGTATGCCAATTTTTCATTGGCAGGAGTCCAGCATTGATGAAGGCTTTTTAAGCCATGGCAGACATTAAATTTAGCTAAAATTCTCCACATCATGTTACAACAATCGAAAAATACGCCATAGCGCTTGGTAAATAATCGGTCGGATGCTGCCTGGCGAGTAGATAATAAAAATGTCTCGAATTGGTTCTATTCATTAAAACAAACGGCATAAGGGTAATTAGTCCTTTTTTAAATCAATTTCGGTTAGAGCATTTTTTTGCAATAACCCCCCATCTGATTTCAATCTTTCCCGCATATAATTCCTACTTTACTGCCACTAAGGGGTCTAGTGATTAATTATTCGAATGCTAACAGCTTCCTTCAGCAGTTAGAAGGAATGCACGGAACGAAAATGACTCGTCACAAACCATGCTTACAACTGAATCTCTGTATCAGTTTGTGCTGGCGTGTGATGTGCGTGATTCATTGTCAAGGTGGTTGCTAATCGCTCGCGTCCCAAATGTGAATCTTTAAGCTCAGACATTTTCTCACAGAACAGGTCACATCATGTCAGACCGTTCGCAACACAATTGAGAAGTGGAACACACTTGTCACTGCCGTCACATCCACTGAGGTAGAAAGGGGTGTGCCTAAGAGACAGTAGCAGTTTCGTCTTCAACACGAAAAGTATATGAAACAGAATTTACGCTACATTAGTCGCTGAGATCCAACTGTGCTGTAATCTGCTAAGGGAATATCACAGCCATGGCTACTGTCGCGTTCTTCTAACGCTTGTTAATTCACGCATGTCTAGACACGCATATAAGCGTCTATTTCGCCAGTCCGTACCTGAGATAACGCACCCCCCTACAGCTGTGCACACACAGCCCCGTCACTCCAACCACGCATCTTTTCATTCACTTCCTTGTACATTTGTTTGTTCATCCTATTTCTATTGGTTAATGCCCTGCATCACTCATGTCCCCCTTTAGCACGTATGCGATTCACGGGTAAACACGACTTCGCAGGCATAACGCCACAACGCATTGAATAGTCAAGTAAGCGGTTGGGCCTTCGCCCTTGTCTAGGTGCCACACCACTTTAAACATAAACGCACATTTACAAACACTGCTTCCACACACGCCACAATCTTAACCGCCCAGTTCGAAATGAGTTTGAGAAGTGCTGGATGCACGGCACTTCGTGAGTGGTGAGAATTTGCACGACCTTACGGTGACTCGCGTGAAAGAGCACGATACTTGATGGCTTGCTTTTAGCCCATAGCTACAAAACTACACTTGTAGGGAATGAGGCTGTAAGTTGCCTTGGCTCCCAGTATCCAAGTGAAGCTCGTCACAAGGTTATTCGCATAACTGTAGTAAGCTTGGCGATTTACTGGATTGGATACGAAGGAGGCGGGAATTTACTCCTTTCAAGAGTTCCCTTTTCTGCCCGAAAATTATCCATCATTTCATCTGAAAACCCCGTGGTGAATCGTACTGATTCACGTCCATTAACCCCGTAGTCGCATTCTTCGCCACACTTACCTCTTTTTCACGGCGTCACTGTCGGTCATACAAAACCGTCTGCTCATACACCCCCGTGCGTGTACCCATCCTCACGCCACCCGTTTCATTCATGTGGCCGTCCAACCATTTGTGCTTTTACAGGATCCCCCGACTGTGTTGGCCTGCAGCCGTCATTACTAAGACACGACTTTGCATTCGCGACCATGTTGAACTGTCTGGGAAACGGTTGTGCCTCTACTATCTCCTCGTTTCTTGATCTTCGAGGGTCAAAGCCAACGCATCGGTCCCGGCATGATTGGAGACCACATGCCAGGGCCTCCAAAAACCATTTCTATTTGATGATAATCTCAAAGTGTATACAAATGAAATCCTATTCTGGAGTTGCGTATCCAAGTCTCTCAGTTAGGATGAGGCGATAGCACAATTTTGCCACTGATGCCCTTCTTTTGTAGCAATTTTCTTCGGAATTTTCCTTCAAATGCTACAGCATTTTTAAACACTGTCCACTCGAGTGTAAGATGAGGATATGCACATTGGCATTATAGTATGAAGATTTGGCGTTCAAGGATTCGAACCCTGACAAGAGCTGCCCAAAATACTGCACAAAGGTAATTATGACGCTTGTAAGCGCGGATATTTCTATCAGTCCAAATTCTTTCTAAAATGATGTGGGTTGATATATTCTACACCACAAAGATATCCTCCCACCACGCTAACTAGTGCGCGCGTAGTCAACAAATACAGACTTCACTGAACTCTGTTTGAGGGCTCTGATGGTCAAACATATTAAGAATCATACTATTTTCCAGCTTGGATGGGGTTTTTCATTCCGAACTACAGGCCAATCCACTTGTCCGTGATGAAAACGTAATAAATCCTCGGGCTCTACAAACATCAACTGCAGACTGTGCTCAGTTTAGCAATAATTTTATGGCCACCACTTATTGCAACAATAAGTCCAGATTGTAAGCAACTGCGCAGCACGAGAAACAGTAAAGCAGGACGAGGCTTTGGTGGTAGTTTTTGGCACAAACAGATCCCAACATAAAGGATTCACAACCACCATAGTTTTGAAAAAAAAACGCGGATCTGAATTTCCTTTTCAAGGTAATTCAATTACCGATATTTTTTTCTTCCCACATACCACAACTGATTCCTAAGATCACACAGATTGCGGTCTAAAGCTGCCCCGAGCCATAGCCAATCAGCGTTTCCTCGATGTTCCGGTTTTAACACTCGTGTATCTGCTTGTTTAAGCAGATAAACAGGAGCCACATTTAATTGAACGGCATGGATGGGTACATGTTAAGATAGGTGTGCATGGATTCTGTCTGTTCTCTCATAGGACGAGTTGGCAGTAGCTCAGAACAAAACGGAGCCAATTTCGTCAGCATGCCTCTACGTGCAAATGCTTGTGTTGATTGATGTGTTATACGTCAATAAAAATGTGCACGCTGGCATTGGTCAGTGTAAGTGCTTGCAATGAGCCAACCTCCCCTGTTTCACATGTCAGGCACTTCGCCGCTGTTGCAAAAAAATAACAGACTAATGGGTAGTTGTCACTGCAAACTTTGATATGCATCTTGTCAGGCCTCGTATCAGGGAAGTTCTTGCGTGAAGGTTAAGTCGGTTAGATGATAAAAAAGCTTCAAGACGCTAGCTTGATAAAAGATACACAGTGATCCCGGAAATTGATATGGCTTTGAGTGAGGGCGGTGGCATATACCTATGGAAAATCTAACGCGGTTTTGGAAGAAAGTGAATATAAACCATTTAATTACAACCACATATTAAACAGCAGTTAAGTTAATTAAGAAAAGTTACAAATCAAAAGAGTGAATTGTTGCCGTTTGCCACTGCTTCCTCGCCTTCTGAGTTAAAAAGGATGTGGTAGTTGCCACCGCCGCTGCGGACTTTTCTGATCCGCCTTTTGGAAGGTTTCAATTGACCGCGTTGACGACGCCGCAAGCAGAGATAAACAAACAGAATTACTCCACCGAGGAGGACAAGAGAAACCATGACGAAGACGGAGATTGTAAGAGCCTTCTGTTTCTTTGTCTGGTTTGTCAAACGCGACCAGAAGGGATTCGTTGCATTTTCAGCTGCGACTTGAGTGGAAGCAAGCGAGTAAAAAAAGACACAGGGGCATTCAACATTCATTAGCTTGCCCTTTTCTAACGCATCACGCAAAAAAGATACGAGAAAATAAAGGAAATTAATTGACGTCCGATTGACAAAATGGTCTATTTATGGCCAGAGTATGTACTTTCTTGAGATTTCAGGCAGCCAATGATGGCGTCCACTGAACTATCGAAAGTGGTCAACGTTTACTTTCGTCTAATTGGAAACCTGGCGATAAGATTCTTCTTAGCGCAAGCTCACAAAGCTAGATAATTCGATTAAAAAACCTCAATCACGCAGGCATGCACACCTAGAAATCTACACACATGAACACATGGGTACACCTGTAGCTAGCCATTGCAACCGACAAGCCTCTGTTACGATGCGCACGCATTATGCCGTTTTTTTTGTATTTGGCACCCTGACCTAGCTGCTTCTTGTTTTCACAGATTGGCAAATAACAAAGTCCATTCGAAAACAAACCTCAGTTAGGGTGCATTGCTGACCTTCACAAACATCTGACAAGCTCTCTCAAAATGGAATTTTCCTGGCGGTATCTTTAATCAACTAGATTATCTAGGGAGGTGATACATGTACAAGTGCAAGTAGAAATCCAGGTATTTTCGTTGCATTGGTTGCAATTAAACAGGCACTTTTTCAGCTGAGTGCGTGATCAAGGGGGTCGCAACTAAGAGGACAGATTCAGCCCAATGACGAGAGACCATGAGTCACGTTAGCGTGGTTGTGAGTTGACCGACTTCACCCCCTCAAGCCTAGTCGCTATAGTAGGCTATGAGTTATCGCGGCGCGTGTCCTCACACTGGCGGTGGTGGGGCGCCACGAAATGCCAGGCACCACCAACATAGTCCCCAAATTTTCCTTCAAAACTTGAAGGCCTAAAAATGGCAAGCAAGCAAAAGGGATACCGGAAGCAATTATCGTGTCAGGACAAAGGCATTAACAATGCCTTTGATTATATCGTCTGTTCCTCTACACTGACGAACACGCTGTGCACTGAGCTGGAGTGCTTTTGTTAAACCAACGTTAGTTTATTGCAAGATGTAGTAAAAGACTGCCCTCAAATGTGATTCACGCAAGAGGTCACAAGTTCAGCAGCTCGAAAGACACATTTGGATTTGGAGGGGGTGGCATCGACGAGCAGATGCAGAATTTGAGAACATGCAGCCTAGTACATCTCAACACTCACTGCCAAGTAAGTGCTGTATTTGTTCACGCAAGACCGATTCCTCTGTTTACTCATTCCTGCAAACTGTCCACTGAACCCACTAGCTGTGTCCGTGTCGATGACCAATCACCAATGACACGCGGCATGATGTTCACGTTCATGACCTACAGACACGCATTAGTGCATCCAGATTCAGTGATAGAATTCACGATTGAGCTCAAGTCAACTTCTGCCTTCCTATTCGTTTCTAAGGCGCTTGGTTCCGAATTGGATCGCAACAGCAATGATAATTTGGTTGCCCTGATGACAGTGTGAGGCCCACATGAGTGGCCTTTAACCCGTGGCGCGCAAATCACCAAGGCGAGGTTTTGGATTAGGAACAGAAAAGATCATACTTCCCAACAAAACATTTTAAATAACCTCACACACTTCAGGTCTTTTCACCAAATTAAGCAACTTGCAAATAATCTCAACTGAACTGCAGCTACAACAAGAGACAGTTCTTATTCATAAGAGCTGCAAAAAACGGTGCAACATCCAGCATCCTGATATATTTCACACAAATATCTTAGCTAAAAAGGACTTTTTAGAGGGACGTTGTTACGGTAAATAATGTGCTGTTACTCAAATTGCCCAGGATGTTATTTTTTTAATGTCACAAAATTGAGTTGAAATATAACTATTTCGGCTATGTTAGACGCTTCTGATAATAATCAAGTTCAAAGTAATCAATTTGGACATAAATGTTTGCTATTAATAATAGTGGATGGATCAATTAAGGAAATTAGCCGAGGAATATTAATTGATAAAAAGTATTACAGCATATCCATGGAATTTATTGCAGTGTTTCAAACTCTTTACTCATTTAAGGTTTAATGGATGATTACTCACATCTAGGGCGACAAATGACTGCATGACCTTGCAAAGTTAGAGAAACACCTCTGACGCAGCAAATTACCGAGGTTATACAAAAATGAACTTCGCCGAGCTTTGATTGCATTGTCGAGGCAAATGTTATGATTTTTGATATAGTACATCACAACCAGGTAAAGGTATTTAGAATCGACATCATGCACAGTTGGAATTTTGTTCTTGTTGCCTATCAACGACGATTTGATACATTTTATTGCGATCCCAAGCAACGATTTGTTCAGCAAAAAAATTTCCAGTGAGTTTGTAAAAAAGTTAGGTATGGCTCCCAAGTGTGTGGGCTCGATAGGTTAGTATTTGTGTAGTCAAGATCAAGAATAAGGTTGTCACAGTACTGGCAGACTGTATGCAAATTCAACTCAACCGAATTAATCTGTGCAAATGTTTATAGATTTGGTTTAAGTTGAGAGGATTTTACATGATGATAATATTACGACGTAATGCACATTCCGTGGTACGGCACAACTACATCGATGTAATACTAATTTAGGTGTTCAATCTATTTATTTCCACATTAACAACGATATCATTATTTTCATTGCGAGATCACTCACATGTAAGTAAACCACTAGCCATCATTTGTTGCACAAACGATTGAGTGAATAAATAATTATAATTACTCAAAAATTCCATGAAATGTAGATAAACGGTGACGCCAAACCCATCACATTATTCTAACTTTAACACCTGGCGCCCACTGTGCTAAGGACCCTCAAAGTGTCATGCTTGATGTATTTTTTAACAAGGGTTTAAGCCAGAGTGCTTCATTCAGGTACACTTGCGTATTTGTTTTCCACATGCTGCTCTTGATTAATAATGACCAAAAAATGATGCTTCAGCTATTTGGATTTAATAGACTCTATACCTAAGAACCCTAAATTTGTGACTGTTTACTCAGGAACTACCAAAGTGTAAGACTGTTCGAAGTTCGTTACTTGGAATGTAAAATAATTGAGAATGAAGATTTAAATTTCGGGACCTTGCCTAAGGTGACCAGAAGGTGAAGTTATAGAGATAGCTAAGTCATGCTAAAATAAGTTAGGAACTAAAAAACCAACACAGACGACTTAATGGAGTATTAAGAACTAAAAAAGTAGGATAAGGATATTGAAAAAGCAACAAAAAAATTTAACCATAAACTTAAATTTATTAATTTATAAAGATAAATGCTCTATGCTAGGTTAACAGCATGTTGTAACTATGCCCACAAAAAAATGAAAAGAACAATTGTTGCCAAAGTTTAGGAAATAGTATATAATGCACTAAATTAAGCGTAAATACGTACTTTTTACAATTTCGTAGACATTGGCCTTTACGGAGTCTGATGTGGTACAATGACTGGTATTACCGCAATTGTAAAATATACATTTATGGGTCTATATTATAAACATGCAAATAAAAAAAATCATACCAATGAGTAATAGGTAACAGCAGTACAATTTTCATTGCCACAGCATTTAGCCAAGCATTCATCAAGGCCCAAGAACGTGGTTTCCAAACGTACAGCGCCATTTAAAAGACTCTCCTTGCTTATCTTTACATTCTTAAATAGTGTTGCCTCACACGTTGGCACTTCACAAAAGGAAGTACGACAAAAACAAATTACAATTAGAAGGAGCAACATTATGGATATTCAACTGGCCGCTATCTACACTGCATGCGCCCCATTGGACGATTTAGGAATCTTGGAGTTTTTGCAAGAAAGTTAAACACTGTCAAGGCAATTAGGCCTTCAGATATATGACTTTTTAAAAATACTCTTAATCCAAAAAATACCTAGTAACCATAGCACGTAATTCTGTAGCTCTAAAAAGCTACTTTCCTAAAACTATACACATCAAGCTATGTTACTAAACAAATATGTTTGTGAATAAAGGATTTTAATATTGTGGATGTTTTAGAATGTGGCTCGGCATAATTCAGCAAAAAGTCAACCTATGATGGCACTGCGAACAAAAATATCAAAGTTGCGTACTTCGGTCTCAATTATGTCCTGATAGTAAAAGCTGTCGTCATTTATATCTGTGTCCATCTGTCTAATTTCTGATGCCTGAATGCACTTGAAAGAAGTCATAAATCTATATTTTCATATTTTTGATCTGTATTCATTGTAGAAAATAAAATCGGACTTACTGGAGACTTTCACTCCAACGGTTGATAAATTATTTATATACAGAAAAATTATAGCCCGTTATTCACGCTTGATACTCGTTTAGCTTAAGGTAAAAGACTTATGCGAGTTAAAAGCACAAAATAATTCCTTTGATTTCATTGTTAAGCAAGGAACTAAAATTTGCTATGCAGTTGATTTTGAAGTTAAATTGAAGTTCGACTTAACTTGCAGATCAAAACAAATGATGTGATCAAAAATAAAAGGTTTTAAAATATTTTATATAAGGATACCTGCTATAAATTCGTACGCTTAGTCTGCTTATATTCTTCCTTTTAAACAAATCATGCACAAATTTTACTAAGTCGTTTAATAAACCTTGGAATCTACCATAAGACAGCATTTGGTGCAAGACAAGTCAAATTATATCGTAATTATTTATTAAGTATCTGCACAAAGTCATTTCTGCTTTTAAAGTGTGACTTTCTATAAATTTTGTCTTTCCGGGTGTTACTGAATCCGAACGTGCTTACTTTGATTCCTCTGCGATACAGGCCAAAAAATTCATGTGCTAGGCACAATCAATTTTAAAAGCATGCATTTTACATCTTTAAAATGAATTTTAATTATAACTTGGTCAAGTTTTTTCGCAAATACCCTTAACGTCCTCAAAATTCACCAACGAGTCACTTTGGACTGGAATAATATAAAACGTATAGGCAGCACTGCGTTCGCATCAAATTGTTGCGTGTATTTTGCAAAAAGGTGTAGTGGAGGTGTCAAAATTGGTTTATAATTTTCAAATGATGACCCACAGATTGTTTTATTTAACCGTTTCTTGCGTCTTTTCTGCGGTTGCAAATTACGGTTATCAATCGTGAACCCTAACTGCTTCGAAGTAGAGATGTCTAGAAGTTGTGACATTAATAAAGGAGCTAATTTTGATACTTTTCGTACTGCTATTAAACAAGGTTGCATCGAGGTAACCTCTTTGTTAGATAAAAGTTTCGAGAATCGAAGGTATTAAACGAGATTCTTTGGAATTCTCTTGACCCTAACCAGAAGGATGAAAATGGATGGACAGGCTTACATTTCGCTGCAATATATGAGCAACCTGAGGTGGCTAAGATGCTGATTAGTCATGGTGCGGATGTAAATATATGTGCAGGTTCTCGCTGCATCCCTGGTCATTTTGCCGCAATTCATGGAAATATAGAAACATTAGCTGTTTTACTTTTAAATGGATCTGTAAGTGTCCTTTTTTGAATGCAATTATAGGTTTCTTAGTAGTCTGACCACATCGCAGCCAAATAATCCCGATTCGCTTGAAAACATTTTGATTTATGAATGTTGCCCTTTTTAATTGCGTAGATTACTATAATGCTGTACAAGTCTGGCGTTAAGAAACAATTTTTAATAGACTAGAATCGGCATTGTGTTGTCTGTAGAATTTATATGTGTTCAGAACTATCGTGATTAGAATAATGTTTTCCATAAAAATGCCGAATACTTTCTTCAAACTTGGATTTTTTCCCTTTTCGTTCCCATGCAACAATTTGAGCATAATTAACGATAGCTCTATGTCCATTTTCTAATCTTTCACTATTAATTTTAATTATACTAAGTAAGTGGTGACTATTTGTTGGCGTGCAGGTGTGCTTAAGGCATTATTCATGAATGATGTCTATAAATAGTTTTACTTTTTTAGAATGTACAAAAAACTGACAACTTAGGTTGGACAATGCTACATAAGGCAGCTTACCACGGACGCATCGGATGCGTTCGAACTTTAGTAGAAAAGGGATCTGAGCTCTTTGCGACAACATTAAAGGGGGAGACGCCGCGTATGAATAAATTCACTCATGTATTTTATGCTCAACAATTACCACATCGCTTATTTGTAGTAGCCATTATGTTAATAATTGTTTGCTTACTTGATTATTTTGGTGACTTCATATGGCTTTCTTCCAAATTATCAAACAGTAGCTTGGAAAAGCTGATGGAATAGAGTTGATCATTCTGTTTGTATTAAACTGTGTTCTTTGTGGTTGCTTCTGCATGAATCCGCATTGCCTTCATCTTACATGAAAGCAAAGTCAGGATGAATTAACATTGTTTTGAAAAAATAATTACCACGAATCTCAAAACAGTCGCTGAATATGTAGTGACCTTCCTCAGTCTATTTTTTCCTACCATTAATTCTATTTTTTGTAACAAACAAAACTTGTAGATGTCGCCGAATTCCCACATTTTGGGAAATGTTTTGTCCTACTGAACATTTCATATACACACACTTGAACTAAGACAAAAACCGTAAAAACCCAGGTTTGTGGTCACTATTAAAGGTGAATAGCTAATTTCAAACGACAGACTTGAAGACTTAATGTTCGAAACTGCTGATTAGTAACGCAATTACCTGTTTTAAATACTGACCAGTGGCAATGTAGTGAAGTTTAAATCACCTTGGAGCTGAAAAGTGTATTATGGAAAACTCAAAGTATACGAATTAGCGGAGTAAGTGGAGAATTTATGTTCCTCAATGTTATTATCATCGGGCTCCTGATCGACCAATGGGTACTGTCAATTTTCTTACAATTTACCGTCACATATATCCGAAACTCAGTCAAATCTTTTCTTCCTTTTTTAAAAAAAGTCCATTTAGCTGCAATGGAAGGTCATTTGGAGGTCGTCCAGTACCTCCTCTCAGTCTCTTCGAATTGGGTTAGTCAGTTGGAAGCCCGAACTGACATGGGCAAAACCCCGAAGCAACTGGCCAAACAGTTCCAGAGGGCTGGTGTGGTGGCGTTTCTTGAGCATACAGAATGGAAAAGAAGGCTGTCTACGAAAGATGAAGTGGATCTTAAGGTTCCCGGACACACAGCTGCTTTGAGTGGTGATCAAATGCGTTTGTGTAGTCTTGTCGCCTCTGGCGTCGTCAATGTGAACGAAGTGGACGAGGATGGGAATACGCTTTTACACAAAGGTTTGTGGCGGTTAATTGTCAGGCACCTCTTAATGTTATCAATCTACATGCAATGGCACCGGTAAAACGATATCAAATAATAAGTTTTGACAAAAAACATCTTTACTTCGATCATAATACATACTGTCTTCTGGAAAGGTCAGTTCAAACTATTCTTTCAAAACACCACAACAGGGATCTACCAAATGAGTACGCATACGTCCAGCTGAACTGAGCTGCAAACCTATTCTATGATGACATCCAAAGAAGTTAATAAGATGGCGATAACCGTCAGTGCGTACGCGTGCGTGATCGTGTTCATAAGGTCCTTTTGATCCTAGATCAATGAAAGGTAAGGGTTGAGTCAAAGACACCAATCAACCTAAGGTAAGCAGTCCACCAGAAATCATTACATCTAACTGCGTCAAAAGCAAATGGCCAATGGTACTTGGCTTCCCAAAGAAGTCGGGGCTACTACCCAGTGACTGGTATTCTCACCTGATTTGTCAAAACCAGTTTTCAAAAATCCAGACTGCTTGGAGCGGTTACTGCCAACACATTGTCAATAAATCTAAATAAAACGATGAGTCCGAGTGTTGAAATACGTCTTTAGGCGCGTGTTGGAAAGGCTGACTTTTTAATTGAGGTTATTTCTTTTATTCAGCAATTGAGGGTAACCAATCAGAGTGCATTATTTGGCTTCTTGAAAATGGGGCTGGCGTGAATAGAAGAAATTGTTTAAATGAAACTCCACTGGATTTTGCTAAACGCCTAAAAAACGTCGGGGCCTCGAAGATTCTTGCGACCTTTGAGGAAGAAGACAAAGCCAAAGTTGCAAAACATGACCATCATCAAATGGTGTCAGACAAAGATAACCTTCTTCCCGACTGCCTACAACCTCCAGATGAAAATGCATCACTTGGTAAAGGTAAATTTAAGGTGATTAGCTATGCGTACTAGCTCACATTTAACGCGCTTTCCCTATCTTGCAGACAGAGCTCTACAACGAATAGTGCTCCTGGCAAAGTACCTTTACCGGGCCAAACTCGACTTTTTCCAATTCGGTGGAAAGGAAATAGAATTAGAAAAATGCGGGATTAGCGAGGAGTAAGTCAGTAAATCCAATCTTTTTACCTTACTCTACTTCGCGTTACCACCATTAGGACACACAGAATTCCGATTAGGTCGGTGACTTGTTGGGTGTCCAGCTTGAAATTTGAGTTCCTTCTAAATGACTGGGGCTTTAAACGTACAAGTGGATAAAGGACTTGTGATGCAATGAAGCGGCACTAGCAATAAAACGAATGACAGGCATTTTGGTAGAAACGGCATCAAAATGACTTCAATTGGGTCTTCGGATTTCCCCGTAGAAAATCACGGGACTAGTAAAGCCACGTGTAAAAGTGGGACAGATGAAGAACAAACACCAAGGGGGCAAAATGGAGAAGTTTTTTCATCTGTTTCGTTCCCCATCTGTAGAAGAAAGCAGACAAAATGAAACACAATCTGTGTTTGGGTTAGGATTGGGGACGGAGAATTTCTAAAAGTTTCAGTTTAGTTAATTTAAACAGCGTTGTACACATTCAAAGCAAGTGGGGCTGTGTGTGCATTACCGATCAGTGTGAAACCGTTGTTAAAAAGTTTGTAATAATTATCACTGGTGTTGTTTAAAATTGCGTTACTCACCTCTGGCTTGTTACACATCGTTGAAAACAGAAAATCGGTCAGAGAGTTGGCCAACGAGTTGGAATACGAACGTGGCATTCGTGAGGAATTGGAAATTGAACTGGAGCAATGCCGTCAGCAGCTCCGAGAGGCGAATTATAATTTGGATACGTTGAGGATGCAGAGGAGAAAGGAGCTTGCATAAAGCCACGTCTCGTTGATATGTCTACTTTTGCTTTTTAATGATTTAAATAAATACCTCGAATGAACCTTGCTCTGTGCTCGCAACTACGCGATTATTACGTTTGTTGGCACTTGAACTAAAAAACGGATTTTGTGTATCAAGTGAGGAGGCATTTACAAAAATATCATGTATATCCTAAAGGAAGAGAAACCTTACTTTGTCTTCACAAGGTACAACCCCGCGAAACCTCTTTGACAAGACCCTTCTATTCCTCAATACTGGATCGTTTGACTACTTAAAACGTTAATAGAGAAGATACCTGGGAGTCAGCTTATAATGGGCTGATCAAGTCGGTTAAAATTTAACTTAAACCATAATCATCATCGTTGTTTATCTTGTTTCAGTCGAAATCAATAACTTAACACATTTATCACTGTTACTTTGTTCCTCACCAAGCTCCGGATTCAGCCGTCAATAATGAGTTAGCCAAAGTATCGTCATCTGCTACAATTGTTGAACAAAACCTGCATGAGTTTTTAGATAGCAAATAGCGATGTTTTTGGAACAAAAAATTTGAATAACTACTACTCTTTAATTTGCTAAGTGGGATGGTTTTTTGCCAGAAGATTCTTAACTACGACAGCCTTGTCAACATCCTGGCCAATATTGCATTTATCATGAAAGGATTTAAACGGTTGGTAATTAAAACCGAAATCTCAAGTCAATTTGAACTTTACCAACGCACAGTAGGCAGCGGTTATTTAGAACACATACCAATAATATTTATGATATTTTAGAAACAGAACACCCACCTCTGTAGTGCCAAAGCACAAATAATTTTTTCTGTTTTTAGCCCACCAATAATGGAGACAATTGGCGGTAGTTGATTTTGAGATGAAGTGATGGGATCAAAAAAAAACCAATCAGAAATGACGATTGCATGTAGAGTCAGCCTCACGTATTTTAGCGTGCATAAACGGGGATGTGATATGGGAGACTGATATCTGCCGCGGCTATATTCGATTACGCCGATCATCTGTCTAAGCGCATTTTAATGGTTTATGAAAAAAATCAATAACCAATAGAGACAATGATGATGATCAGAGGCACACATAAAATAAGGGGCTAAATCTGTAGGGTTGATCCGCATGTATGGCGGCCCAAGGACGATTCTGGATTGTGTTATATCAATAAAACATATCTCATTTAACTTGTATCCCCCCTACTGTGACTCAATTGCACTTTAAATTTACACAGAAACAAATCTAGTAATTTTCGACAAATTGGACTACGCCGGCCTCAGCCGATCCTCTATCTCTTTGTGCGTGAGTGGTATACGAGGAAGATATACTGCCAAAGAGACAGACGCAGCTAGCATGTTTGACTCAAATGGACGAGGTTTGTCGAGTGGTTCCGGCTGGCGATTGGTCAATAAAGCCTGTGGCGAATTAACAGCGATCGTGCCTGAGTGAATCCTGGTGTAGCGTGCTTGGGCATGATCAGGAGGCGCATGGACGAATAGAAAGTTTATTGGTACAAAAATATCAACGTGGGTCTCCGGTATCGGGGCTAAAGAGTCATTATTTACATGGGGTTCTTATATACTTGGTCCAGGTTGCCCCTGTTCACTCATTGGCTCCGGCTTGGATTCTAAAAATAGAAAGAAAATCTCGTGAGAGAAGGGCTACTCGGGCTTTGGCGCTCCATTTGAAACTTAAATGGTCCTCGCAACTGGAAGTCACGTGATGCTGCCCCACCGGCGCGCCACTGGCCCTCGACCAACAGCTGGATGTCTAGATGGCGGCTTTCTGCCCGCACGCTACACTGGTTACCGACATGACGCTGGCAATGACTCATCCCCTTTACATTGGTTGCTGTATCAGATACCTGTCATCCGTTCTCTTATCCACACACTAAGCCACACTTGGCTGGCGTGACGCTAATAAACAGTCCGTTTCACAGTTGCTTTCTTTTCCATTCTACTCGGATTGTTTCCGGCTGTTAATTTTAGGGTTGTAAGGTAGTGCTAAACCCTAGCTACTACAAGCCTGTTACGTTGTACCAGCTCGGGTAACCTACAACAGCAGTTGACTAGAGTTCCTTTATTGTGGTTGGTCGATATAGCCGAGATTCATGTTCATGTCTTATTTTTCAAAGACATTTACATTTCTGTCACACACTGCACAACTATAAATCCTAACAGTCATCGGAATGCCAAAAGAATCTCGTGAAACCCTAATTCTGTCTTATTTCTTCAGCATATGATTCAATAGGCCAATTTTGTTAAAATCTTTCTCATGGCCTTCATAAGTAGTGTTGGACTAAACAATGATGTCGTCAAAGAGGGGAAAATTTAAATCGAGCCCTCGGGAAAAAATGATATCTTGGATGCTAAATTAACGAGTTATTTAATTTGCGCAAACAATAAAACACGTTAATTAACATTATGTCAGTTAAAAATTCAAGGTAAAGAGCGAATTCTGGCAATGCTTCATAATCATAAAGAAACTCTATAGTGCTCAAGTTTGACGTGAATAGGAACCACTTTTAAAATAGCGACCGTGGACTCTAACACTAAAATGCTAGTTCAAAAAAGTTAGGGTCTAAATATGTTACAATTAATTCAACTGATCATAACCACTTTATAAAAAAACACCCTTCTTAGTTCGTCATGCTTGATACTTTAGCCCGCTATTTTTAACAAATCTCTTTATAAGTATAATCAAGGTACACTAATTACACTGACTGCGAATAGATTGAATTAATTAGTGCATTTATGTAAAGTAAACATATTTGTTGCAACCTATATAGAACTTGTCTACGTTTTATATCAGGTATGCATTTGAAGTTGCTCCAAAAGGAAAATTTGGTTATTGCTTAACACAATTTACGTATCGAACAGCTGACTTTAACCGTCGTGGGATCATCCAATCAGAATCCGAATACATTAGTGTATAATTGTGCCATTGTATCAACGGTTGCGATTTTTCTGTTCGGTCCGGTACCTTTTAATTCCCTTGTCACATTTTGTCACGCTCTACTTTTAAACATCTTTACTTTTTAAATACAATTAGTTAAGGTACATTGGCTTGTTTTTGTGCTAATTACTGTCTTTCATTTGAAAGCAGCTTAACTGCCTCTTTTCCAAATTAAAATTTATCTAGACTTTGCCTGCTTCAACATTGAGTTTCGTGCATATACAGTTAGAATGAGCTGTAATTTTTTTTGCTAATTGTTAGCTAACCTTGGCAATATCGTTGTTTTTCGTAACTGTCAAACGCCATTACCTGGAAGTCCTTTGATGCCCTTTTAGCTTGAGGTTTCGGAAGCCTGTTACCTAAAAAAGTTGTAACCATGGACGATGGTGGTTACATTCCTGTAACCCACTGTGGAGGCAAGAATAATCTGTCGTCGCTCTCGGCAGGAAGATCTCCGCGTTGTGTCTTTTGTGGAATGGATGCTTCGGCCAAATTTGGTCAGGGTGAACTTTTGCGTTTTCGCACATCTCACTCATCCTTGGGTCTTCCTGAATGGTATACTGAGCCTAAGTCTCAGCCACAAGCTCTCAAGCGTGCTTTATTTCGGAAGCTGAGTCAGACAGTAGCTGAACAGCCCGTCCAAAGTACTCCCCACCTCCCGCTAACTCCTTCTGATTATCTGGTTGGGGACCATTGCACTCTTGATGCTTGGCGTCGATTACAGGAAGGAAAAAACTTAGAGCAAGTTTTTTTGCAGGCTAACATTCTTTAGGTCTGATGGTAAACCGATTTTGAGTGGCCTTCCAAACGCCTTTTCTGATTCCGAAGGCCGACCCTTCGGCTACGTCGATGAGCTTCGCGAAATCGGATGGCCAACTTCCGGTGATTCGGGCGAGAAGCTGGTACTGGAAAATTTGCTTGTCGCTTGTGCCCCACGAGAAGGTGGTGAAGGTAGTTGGCTATATGCACATCACTGTTGCTGTTCTTGGTCGGATGGAGTGGTAATGAATAAACAGGTATGGAATGTTATTGGGTAATTTTCGTCTCTAGATGGAGTTCGAAGGTGTGGAAGACGCTGCAGTAAAAGCAATGCAGACAGAGTGTGCTCTCTGTAGACGTCTTGGTGCAAGCGTGTCTTGTCATGCCGATGGTTGTCATCGTAGTTTTCACTTCCCCTGTGCTTCTGGTGCCGGATGCTATGAAGAAATCAAAACTCTTACCATCTTTTGCCCTTCTCACCTGGATTCCGTGTTGTCGAGTTTGGGTGAAAACGTGACTCCCTGTTTAGTGTGTGACCAAATCAATGATGTATCAGAAATGATTTTTTGCACTAGTTGTGGTAATCATTTTCACAATCCCTGTCTTGAACCCCCACTGATGTTAAGCCCAACCGTTCGAGTAGGATGGCAGTGCCCTGAATGCAAAACATGTCTAATCTGCAGGTATGTAAATTTTTTTTGTTCTTTGCCACAATTTGCGTTAGTGATTTGACCCCCTTTTCATCTTTTAGTGAAAGCAAAGATGAAACGAAGATGGTCATTTGCGATGTCTGTGACAAGGGATTTCACACCTACTGTCTGAAACCGCCTGTGACAAATATACCTAAGAATGGTTTCAAGTGTGACCGTTGCCGCGTTTGCACTGATTGTGGTCTTCGCCGTTTCTCATCCTCTAAGGGGTTTGGTGCTCCCCCAGAAAATGAGACCACTGAACAGGTAAAGTAGATTTGTAATTTTCGGCTCCTCGATTTTATCATCAATATTCTTAATTTTTCTCATTATCCACTTCTAGCCTGTCACACGGTGGCATGCTAACTATACCCTCTGCGATCGATGTTTCCACGCAAGGAAACGACAGAATGCCTGCTGTGCTGTCTGCGAACGCGCACTGCGATGCTGTGTCACTGTAAGTCCTTTTAATCATATTTCAACCCATATTTTTACTAAGTTTCATCTTGATGACCTTGTAACCTGTGGCTTTGTCACTTTGTTGTTCCGTACGTGTTCTGAACTTCTTGTTTATCGTTTTGACTTTTCTAATGCATGTTCGTAATCCTGAAATCAGATTATCATTCGTTCTCTTAAATTTGCACGTTATTAAACCTTGGGCTTTCTCTCTCTCTCAGATTAGCGTCATTAATGTCTTACTTCCATTAACAAATCTTTGTTCGCATTCTTTCCGACTTCATCCTGCCTTCGAAAACGTGACTGACATTTAGGCTAGATTTGTATTACAATTTAAATTGTGCTACTCTCAGAATTTCAAACGGTTTTCCGCCTCGAGACTGCACGAGTTGTTCTCGCTTCATCATGACCTAGTTAGTGTACATCATGCTATTTTTTGCTTCGCCTTTCAAGTCAAACGGAAACACCTGTGGTGGAGCAACCCCAACCACGCCTCTGACTTGGCCAAGTCGTCGCTGTGCAGGATGTCGTCGAATGGTCCACTACGACTGCGATCCAGTACTCCAGTCCTCCCTCTCGTCCCCTCATTCCTCCTCGTCTCCCTCCCTCGGGGCTGGGGGTGGCGTTGGCATTGAAGATGCTTCCGGGTCACAGGTCACTGGTAGTGGCGGTTACTTTTGTCCAACTTGCAGGAACCGTGATTCGACCACTCCTAGTGAGGTGAATTGTCTTATTTCGGTTGTACAATCCGATGTCCTTTCATTTTCTTATATTGTTTTCGACGTTTTGAAGCCTTTTGTTATGTTGGGATTTCAATGTCTTGCTTTCCAACAAGCAAGCAGGTTCTTGAGACATCTGTCACCAACCAGTTAAGTTTTCAATTGTTAGTTCTGAGCATCTATTTCCATATAGGCACTTTCCGCAACTGCTAGTCTCCGTACAAGTCCTTTTGTTGGCGGCGCCGGCAGTAGTGATTTGGGCGATGCAAATTCCATAGTCGCTAGTGCCAGCCCCTCGCTCACCGATGATCAGCAGCAAGTCTCTTCATCATCTGTCACCTTGGCAACTCGGGCGTCTTTTGCCGCTAGCAACGCCGACTCTACTTCAACCACACCGACCACAGATCCGGGCAAGCAGACTAGTTCGTTGGCATCGGATGCGCTAATCGCGCCGCCAGCTCTGCCGAAATCGCCTCGGGGTGGCGGTGGGCCACGTCCCCATAAGGCAGTTGGTAGACCTCCGGGCAGTTTAACCAAGTCCAAGTCAATCGCTACGGGCATCGGGGAAGTGGGAAGGAAGCGCAGTAAAGTCGAACCCAATGACTCCTGTAAACCGCTTTCCAAGGTAGGCTTATTAACACACCGCACGTCTCTGCCTTTTGATCAGACATTCGCTGGCTAAAACTACCGTGCAGCCTGTTTATCATTCACTAGTAATCTGCCATGATATTAAAAGTTACTGCAATACTTTAAATTCCGATTCATAAACGAGACTATCCTAAGTTGAAACACGAAACACTTGACAGATTTCAAATAGTCACTTTTGAGGATTCTCGGTTGTGGGTACATCTCTCTCGAAATTGTGGTAATGAGTAGTGTGTGTTGGCTTGTGTTTCAAACACTGCTCTTATTTCTTGCTAATCTTCTCTGAGATTAAACTATCAAGACCATGAACACGTGACCACAGCAGTGCTCTCGCTTTCATCTAAGTCGCTACGGGGCAGCACCTTGTATCCTCGGTGACTTTTGGAGAATCGTGCACAAATACGGCACCTAGGGAAGAATTTCAAAGATTTTATGTCAGCAGACTCTACTCATAGACGCGACTGTATTGTTCAAACTCAAAAGTCACTTTTGAGAACGTAAACCGTCCGCGGTGCAGAAAAAATCCTCTGTACCTCTTCGTGTGCATGTTTGCTCTTTTCTGTGTCCCCAGCTTTCCGGAAGCATTGCAATGACGCCGAATCCCTACGCGTCGTCACCGAAGCCGCAGGTAGCCAAGACCGTAGGCGCCAAGCGCTCCCTCAGTAACTCCATGGCCACGGCGCCCGGTGGGACGCGTGCGCGACGCTCCAAAAACCGCAAAGTCGGAGCCGTGAGTTGCAAATTGGCAGTGCTTATTCACCCTCCCCGCACTTTTGGACTTCCACCTACTCCGACTCATTTCAGAGTGTAATAAAAATAACCCCCCAACCCGAACCGGCCCCTGCTCAACCTCGTGTGCCCAGCCTGACCCTCCAGAAAGTAGTTCGGCCAACAACCCCTGGATTGTTTGTCTCGTCGAATCACTTAGTTGTTGCGGAGTCAAAACACCACTCAGTTGTTGGTGGTGATGGTGGTGGTGGTGGTGGTGGTAAACCCCAGCTAACTCTAACGCTTCGGTTTAAAAAACGTGGGCGTCCGAGCAAAGCAGCAAAGAGGCAACAACAACAGATGTTGGCGCAGTATTCCGTCGAATCTGAAAATGTACCCATCAATGTTGAGTTTACTTTTTTCGTTGGTTGGTTAGTTGGTTGTTGGTTGGCAATCCGCTTGCTCTTAAAGAACCCCCAAAAGTGGTCACGATCGTAATGCTTTCTTGTTTGGCTCACCCCTGTAGGTACGATTCGTTCGATACATCGACGATCGCAACTGCTGGACGGTCAAAGTAAATGGCTGGTCCTCGTTCTTTTAGCAAAGTTGTTTTAAAGTGGAATTAGTTCGTTTTTATTGTTTTTTTTGTGTGTATGTTGAGATCTTTCGTTTTCTGGTTCGCCTTCTTAATTCATCCCGTGATTGTTGTGGTGCGAATCTGCTCGTTTTGCAACCTATTTTTCAATCGAAATGTTATTTTTTTGGTTTTCCCACATAGTCAAAATTTGTTGGGTGATGTCCAACGATATTTCCAAAAGTTGCCTCAATATGTGACCTTGAACTTATGTTAACTAATGAGTACTTGCGATCGTTCTGAGGGCATCTCATATAAGGTCACCCATCGATAATTTTACCCTCTCCCCTCGATTAAATCGGCCGATGTCGCGTGGTAGATCGCTGAAAGTTACCTGTCGTAAGTAGGCCCAGGTTAGTCGACTAAAACGGCGATGCTTTTGCTCTTGTGATTGCCATGGAATCCGCCGTTTAGAGGTTCAAGTTCCGACGCTGTTATTCGTGAAAAGCTACTAAACAGTGGTTCGTAATTTGGAGCGAGGTCGTTGGTGCCACATTGGTTGGAGATTTGTGCTAGATCGTGGTTAAGAGATACGTCGTCCCAAAAATTTAAACAATCGTTTTTTGTCCAGACGGTAGGGCCACTAAACTCGTCTAGTACACCGTCGACCATGTCTTGTCACGTAACAAAAAATGCAGGTCTGTCGCTCTTGGCAGGTACGATATCTTCCTTCTCTTTGTGCCCGATGACGAAGACCTTTGGTGGTCCTTTGAGTACTCTGAAGGGTTCATCGTAGGTGGATCGAAGCGGTGCTTGGAATTTCCAGGCTTAACGTGGGCAATGCCTCCGCTCAATGTGGGCTGTTAACGCTGCCTTTATAGTGCCATTTGACTGAGGATGGTAGGCTGTCGTTCAACTGCGATGCGTTGTCAAAAGATCTTGTTGTGAGGGTTAATGCAGCTGTACTGCTGAAACATTGGTAGTTCGAGACTGTTTGTTGTTGACGCGAGGTAACCGAAGCGAATAGTCGCTATAAAAGATGTTGGCGGGGGTCGTTTAACGGGCTTCTCCAACAAGGTTTGATTGCAAACACGGAACTGTTCTTAAAGTGAATTTGAATCAAAGACCCCAAAGCCGCCTTCAACATAGTGCGTCAACAAAACAGAAGTCACTGATTTAATGTCTCTACTTGCAGCGTTGATATCAAGTCAAATAGTCCAACTCAGGAGTTGTTTGTTCATGGTAAGCAAATAGTATTCATGAACATTCTGAAGTCACTGATCTCTGACGAAAGCCATTGCTTGGACCCGGGGCTTCTTCACTCTCTTTTCTTTACCATCTTCGACGGAAGTCGTCTTCCATCTGTCTGGGAACGCGCTCTTGGCGTTGTTTATTTATGCTCTTATTCACGACACATCCTTTATTGTTTGTTCCTTTTTGATTGTCAACCTGACTAGTTCTCGGTTTTTAATCCCACGATCCCCTTTCAGTGCGAATCGAAGATGAGCCAAGAGGAGGACGACCATCCAAGCACCGTGGTCATCTGCCGAAGTGATGATCGGTTTGTTTTGGAGCAGGATATGTGCCTTGCGTGC